TATATGGCTCTAGCGGGTCTCGCGAGACGAGTGAGACTTTAGCGAGACGACTCCAGTGAGAGTGAATGCGTGAGTCAGACAGAGAGAGACAGAGAGACACCACCGCCATCGTACCCGCAGGTCGCGCCATGTGGAAGGCGGAGACGACGCTCCTCGCACAGTGCGGGGTTACTTCCGCATCCTGCCGGTACAGCGAGCGGTGACGTCACGCCCCCCCAGCCCCGCCCCCCGATCCCCAAGCCCCACCCCCCGATCCCCAAGCCCCGCCCCCCGATCCCCAAGCCCCACCCCCCGATCCCCAAGCCCCGCCCCCCGATCCCCAAGCCCCACCCCCCGATCCCCAAGCCCCGCCCCCAATCCCCCTCCTCCTCCTCCCCCCGCCCCTCACAAGGAGGTAGTTCAAGTTCATTTATTATTTCTAGATCTGAAGCTTTCGTGACTGCAAGGATTCATATTCTTAGGTTTTTTTCGGTAAAGTCACGTAGGTAAAACATCAAAATTAATTAAAATAAAATAAAACAAAAATCACGACGTTTCCGAAACGTCGTGATTTTTGTTTTATTTTATTTTCATTTATTATTCTTTGGTTCTTTCGGTAAAGTCACGTATATAAAGATAAAATAAGAAATTTAATTAAATACTAGCATGCGACGTTTCGATTGCAACACAAGCAATCATCATCAGGTATAAATTAATGTATTAGGTATTGCCCTGTGAGCCATTCGGCTCTTTAATCGGGTGCAACCGCAACAAACAAAAAACAAAAACATGAACAAAAAAACATCTTAAAGTGAATGTGTGACTGAGTGCAAACAGAAAATCCAAGAAAAGACAGCAAAATATTGCAGAAAAAACACCGTACACCAACGCTGTGTGCAAAAATCCCAGTGGGATGCAAGTCAAACAACAACAACCACAAGACAACTTAGATTAAGGCCATCAGTCTAACTCTGTACTACAACAAACACACATGGCTACACCAATACACTTTTGGAAATCACCAAAATAAAGCCATGAAAGCAATGAAACAGTGATCATAGGAACTGCGACGGAATTTTCACAATAAATGACATAACAACATGTACTACCAAAACCCTGCAGCCATAGCTGGTTGCATGAGTCACTCCACAACAGCAGGAGCATGAATCGGAGTATTATAATTTTTCAATGCACCTTTAAGATCAGCACACTAAATCAAAAGGTAAAGGCGCAAGTCCTGCAACTGCGGGCGAGAAGCAGCCACCACCACCACCACAGGTAGCTCTCGCGAAGAACCAGCCACCCGGCAGTGTACTTGGTCTACTCTTCCACGCTGGCCACGTGGTCTTGGAAGAGCCAGGGCTACACCCAAACGTTACCGACACTTTACCCCACCACGTGCCAACACGAATGTGTTCCCTGCAGTACAGCAAAGTCGGCTCGTGCAGATTGTACCGACAGACCGATCGATCGATCGATCCGTGGTTACTTTGATACAAATTAGCGGCAGAAACACCACACACACGCATCATACACTCCACTCACACATCATACACTCACTCACACTACCACTGACTCACTCACACATCATAACACTGGGAGTGTCATGCTGCCAGCTATGGCTGCAAGTTTGGTCGTGCATGTTATGCATATCGTTTATTGTTAAATTTGAATCACAGTTCTTATGATTACTGTTGTTACATTGTTTTTATAGCTTTATTTTGGTGATTTCGAAAACAAATAGTTAAGCCATGTTTCTTGCGGAAGTGCGGAGTTGGCCTGATAACTTTTATCTAAATTGTCTTATGGTTTATTGTTTGACTTGCATCACACTGGGATTTTTGCACACAGCGTTGTAACACGGTGGGTTTTTTTTGTGTGAAAGATTTTCTGGTTTATCCAGGACCTTTCTGTTGCGTGTCGTCGCTTTAAGATGTTCTCTGTTCATGTTTTTGTTTGTTGCGGTTGCACCCGACTCAAGAGCCGCATGGCTCACAGGGATATACCTAATGAATTAAATAATAAATTAATAAAACCATTGTTCCAAACCCGTGAGCATACAGAGAGATAGACACTCTTTGCTTCTTACGGTAAAGTCACGTAGAGAGAAAATTAATAGATCACGGACGTTTCGATCGCAACACAAGCGGCCGTCTTCAGGTGAGAGAGAGAACTGCTGAGACACGAGGTCTTATATAGGACTGAGATGGGTAAAGCCTCAGGGTAAGAGGGCAGGGCTAGAGATGGTCTCCCTGAGGCTGTGGAAGTGGCTATTGTATTGTAAGAGATTAGCATGTCAATGCATGCGCTTAGCCATCCAGATATATAAACACAGACACAACTTCAACCGAGAAGATGGGTACAAATTGAGCAACCATTGGAAGGACAAATTTCGATTTAAAGCTTTCGTGACTGCAGGGATTCATCTTCTTGTTTCTTTCGGTAGTCACGTAGAAGGGAAATAATAAAATAATAAAATAATAAAATAAAACATAAAATAATTCTCACGACGTTTCGGCCACAACACAAGCAGCCGTCCTCAGGTGAAGAACAGGTCTGTCGGAAAGACAGCGTCTGAATGAGCACCACCAAGCTTGGCAGCGTATATTTAAGCTGGGTTGGAGGGGGAAGGGCGCCTTGACAAAGGAAGAACATTGGAAGGACATTATTATGTTTCCATCCTTCCTGCGATTTTAGCCGACTCTCTTGAGTTGCATTATGAGGTTGGATGTCTTTGTATTGACGGGTTGGATGTCCTTCTCGATCACAGCGAGAAGGATGCCCACAAATTCGAAGGTGACATCATCGCAGTGATACAACTCTGCTGCTGCTCTTGACACCGTTGTCTGTTGGCTTGACCCACCTGAGCGTGAAATTGTAGTTGTAGCTCTGCATCTACATCACAACTGTCAATCCCTTAAATTTCGATTTAAAGCTTTCGTGACTGCAGGGATTCATCTTCCTGGTTCTTTCGGTAAAGTCACGTAGAAGGGAAGTAATTATTTTATTACTTTCCTTCTACGTGACTTTACCGAAAGAACCATGAAGATGTCAATCCCTTATCAGTGCCCTACCTTATTGAAGACCAATTCAGACCTTATTGGTCACCCCGTGCCCCCTTATACATCACAACGTTCATCCGACAAAATCCCATCACAAGGGAGAAACACAGATAGACAAAACATTTTTTTTTATTTTTGCCCGTATTCAAACGGCTTTACGCCGTATGGACTTGACAACTCATTTCTCCCGTACAAGAATATGGGGTAAACCGTATGGGTTGACCGGTATGATCTACATCAGCAATACGAAATATGAAGAAATCTGCAGCGATCACGACGCAGTTACAGGTCACCTTTAATCTAAATAGAAAACGATGACCTCACGTAACCAGTGTGTGATCATAATTGTTTTTTTACCCTTTTATCTGGCAACAAATCTGACACCTTTTTTTACAAGGAGTCATGTTTGCATTGACCACAATACCTGCACACAAAAAACACGACTCTGATAATGTATGCACTGTCCTTGAAATTGATTGGTCCACACCCAAGACAGCTTTTCTTAGAGCCTAGTCTCACATGGTGTTGGACCAGATGACCGCAGGTATTGTGGTCAATGCAAACATGACTCCTTGTAAAACAAAGTGTCAGTTTTATTGCCAGATAAAAGGGTAAAAAAACCAATCATCATATTTTGCTACTGGCAAAGGAGGTTCCAATAGTGTCATCAGTTAAGGGGAGGCTCTTGTACAATGCATAGGAGGAGCTGTTCAATTCAAAATCAGAATATTTATTTCTACTGGAGGATTTTTTTCACAGATGTCCAGTCGGGCCACGGGGTAAGAACGTTACAAGAAACAGTACAGGAGTGCATAGTACAAGAAATGTGAGCAAATCACTGAAACGCGTACAAATACAACCAAACCATCCCCATCCTACCAAAGCCCACCGAGGTATTCACTTACAATACATTTGCGTTCATTAACTCTGCTTTTTTCAACGGTTTTACTTAACTTGATTCCTGTTTGTCGTGGTCAAATCTTGTTATCAAAATTTCGCCCACTTCCCGTTGTCCAATCAATTCCACATTTTGCACACGTACTCAGATCCGGTGACAATGCATGCCTGTATCAAAATCGGCATCAATTAATCAATTACCTAGATACTTTAAAGCCATTTACATTTTGTATGGACGGCTTATTATTTATATATATTTGTGTAGGTCAAAAACACACAAAAAGCAGGTGCCACGTGTCTCAGGTGCCATTGACGTACTTCTCGACCGTGAGTTAAACAAAGTTGTTAATAAAACCGTTGTTTAAAAAAAAACTTTTGAAAGGAGTTTATTGTGTTTAGTTTTGTCTCCTTCACCCGCACCTCCAATTAGCACGGTTGGCTGCGTACGGCGCGAAATAAGTTCAACATACTGTATATATTTTTCTCGCAAACATTTCGTACGAGGAGATAAAACGAGTTCTCAGTTTAAGATCTCCATAATTACGGAATGCTGCTTCTGCTGGCTTGGAGTAGGGATTGTTGGCGCAAGGCACTACTACTACTACTATAGTGCAAAGCACGTCTGTCTGTTATAAGTAATTGTATTGAGCGGGGCATGGATGTTACTGGGTGTCAAAATAATTATCGGAACGACTGAAATTAAAGCATCATCTCCACCAGCAGCAGAATATCATGGCAACAGAATAGCTGCCCCTCCACCCAGACGGCCAGCAGACAGAGACATCTTTAGTTAACGACATATTATCCTCAAACTTTTTCTATTTTACCAGATAAGGCCCACTGAACTATATAGCTCGTGTTCAGAAGCAACCTGGCTATAAACGATGACTCAATGAAGTGGATTATCATGTGGAAATGCAAAGCAGTAAAATACTTTAAACCCCAAATATACAGCATGCGTCAGGGTCAGAATCGAACACACGACCTCCAGTATACCAGGCGAGGTAGTTAACATCTCCTAGCCACCGTGGCGTCCAAACAAACAATCGCTCCGACTCCAGCTCAGTGACTTGACTTCTTTATTCGGACAAAGACAAAGGCTGCATCGGCAATCGAACCATAAGAATTTCGTACGTGTCTTAAGCTCAAGTTGTACGATTGCAAGTTAACTTAATTCAAATAATAATACAAATAACAGTGCTACGATATTACTCAAAAGAGCTTCGGCGAGTGACGAGACTGTTGTGTTCGGAGGGTCCCCTGCCACACTGGAATGTTTGGACAATTCCATCGTCAACGTGGGTTTGCCTTCCATGTGGAACGCGGAAACCTGGGAGAACTCCCACTCCACGTTACAGTCCTCGTCTGCGATTGCTCCCTCACTCTCTCTGCGAGAGAAATACTGTGCGGCGCGTCTACAAGTTGAAATCATCTTCATCATCAGTCTAATAATTAAAGTGAACGGTAGCATTTAAAAATAAAACACATTAAAGCGTACGTATTTAGTTGCGTTTGGTAATTGATTTAAATGTGCATAATTTAATTATCGTTAGTGCTGTGTGGGTGCTGGTAGGTGAACGGTTGAGGGTGTATTAGGGGCTACACGACACGGGGATGTTGGGAACCACTGGCTACGTAAGAAAACATCAGTCAAGACGAAAGCACAGACAATATTTCCCAGGTATACAAGTTGCTCGTCGGCTCTCAAGAGATTTGGAGCGAATAATCTCGATTTATTTATCGTTTTAGCGAGTGATATTTTTTGTTTGTTGGTTTTATACATTTTCATTCTCAAGAGCTGGACTTTAGCAAAATTTCATTGCGGCACCAAATGTAATGGGATGTGGGGGTTTGCACAGTCATTGGTGACCCGCCTGAACACCACTTATTACCACCAGGGTTGACATATTTTGTTTAATCTGACAAACCTTATTAACTGCCTGTGTTGAGTGGTGACGAGGTTAACGACACAATTATATTTTACGCGATCGAACCCAAATAAAATCTCTTATTGATATTGGTCGCGAAAGCCTACGAGTTTTACCGAGTGATATTTAATTTAGTTTTATTTGATCATTTCGGCCTGGCGTCGTCACGACACGAAGAATCCGTTCAGAAACTCTCCTGCAGAGAGCAACGCTAGAAACAAGTCACGGAAGTGGATATCACAGAGCCACCTCGGAGAGCCCTTCTTAAAGGCGACCTCTGGTCTACGCAGTAGAGGGCCGCACTATCTCACTTGCCGTACATACGAGAGGGAGGTAAGTCGCATGCATGTCAAACCGATATTTTCATTCTCAAGAGCTGGACATTGGCCAAATTAATTTCAGCACCAGATATCATGTGATGTGGGTTTGCACCGTTATTGGTGACCCCGCTGAACATCACTTATCACCAGGTTTTCCACGCTACGATATAAATTTTCTTGGCGATTACTGCGGGATCAGTTTTCCATATACAGTAGACACCTTTGATTATCCGCATGCAGTTTATCCGATTTGCGGATTACCGAGCACCTGAGATTGACGTACATTAATAACTCATAGAATTTTGATCAAGCCCAAATAATCTAAAAACAATCTTGATTTGAAACTTTCGTGACTGCAGGAATCCACTCTTTGGTTCTTTCGGTAAAGTCACAAATAATAGATCACGACGTTTCGATCGCAACACAAGCAACCGTCATCAGGTGTGAAACAAACACGGCAGGAGGACTGCTGACGTAGGAGAAACAGCTGCTGCAACAAGAGTTTATATAGGATTTTTGGTGGGCCCAACCCCAAGGTAAAAGTGGGCCGAACTAGAGAAGAAATTTGTACGTCAATCTTGATTTGAAGCTGTACATGTGAGAGATTACCGTGTCAATGTGAGACGGCCCAACCACCGGAGGCGTGCCAATGAGAAGATTAGCGCCCGGCTCTCTGACAGTGACTTGCTTTACTGAAAGAACCAAAGAGTATGAATCTAAAACGGTGAAACATTGTTCTTCTTGAAAATGGTTATCACAAGTCACGTTCTTAAAACGAACAAATGTGTGTGCCGGTTAATCTGAAATCCACGCGATTGCCTCTACAGTACAATAGTTGCATATCTTTACAACAGCGGAGTTTGATTTTGATTGGTGTGGTTCTGCTATCCACTTAATGGATATTTTTTAATTATCCACGGCCATCCTCCCTATCATCAGTGCAGATATTCAAGTGTCTACTGTATATTCGTAATTGCATTTCACATTTTGATTGTATTGATTTTGTGCTTTGCTGAACTTCCAGGTACGAACAAAGATTCATTTTAAAACATTTAAAGTGCAGTTCACTCAATGTAAGACTGTCGCCACAGGACTCTACAACCCGTAACGATTCCATTAGGCTAGTGGACTGAACAAAAAACTGTGCAATCGTCAAAAAAGAAAAATCCTTCGAGACACAATACAAATGAGACAAGGAACCGATTCTTGAATTGGATCGCGATCCTCAATCAGGACAATCGAATGTCGTCCCGCTAGTGAGACGACATCCCAGTAAAACATGGAACGTTAGGGGCCAACGGTTTCCGACCACAAGCCAACATTGGGATAATGTTGGACACGTACCACTGGGGTGCAAGAGAATGGATTGTGTTTGTTAAATACAGTCCTGTGAATTTTCACACGACGGGAAGTGCTGCGTGCTGGTGAAGGTCGTCTTCAAATCGGGAACTCGCATCTTGTAGAGACTACGCAGCAGGGCTGCTGCATCTGCTGGGTTGTCCGACGAGGAGTTTAAAACTTCTCGAGTCGGGAAATGTCAACGAGGTGAAGGAAGAGTGAATAGTCCACGACTGGCGAGCTTGCGATTCATCAAAATGCATAGACCGCTCGCTCGCGATTGGGAAATTGCATTCCGCCTGTGATTGTTCAGTAATTTACACTCGGCTCAAACGTGATTGGTCAAACCTTTTGATTCCCGCTCAAGATTGGTCAATTGTTTTAGACTGCTCCCCTGTAATTGGCTTACATACAAGACCGCTTGCACGTGAATGGCTGTCATCGTGTGCCGTCAACTTCGTTGTCAATGTCGTCGTCGTCGTCGTCATCGCCATCCTCGTCACCAACCTCTGCGCCGCACGGGCCCTCCTCCTTGTCACCGCTTAGGGCCCCCTCCCCCCCACCATCTCGAGGGGCCCCCTCCCCTGGAGTCCCCTCCCCCCCACCGCGTGGGGCATGCTGCAGGGATTTCTTCCGCGCCTCTAAGCGCCGGCACTTGGAGCACACAGTGGCGTTGTCATAGTAGCAGTCCCTGCAGCAACAGACAAACACGCTCACACTCATCATCGTCTTCGCCGTCTTCACCATCGTCACAATTACCCACCATCATTGTCATTGTTGTGATATATCCGCTGCTGGATGAAAGCCTCCCCGATGATTACGATGCTGCTGCTAATGACGACAATGATGATCATGGTGCTGCGGATTACGATGATGCTGGTGCTAATGCTGGTGCTGCTGATGATGCTGATGATGGTGAAGCTGCTGACCTGTGGAAAACAGCCGAGCAGTTGGGACACACGGCCGTGTGGTTGTCGAATGCAAAGAGCGCCTCCCCCTGGCGGCAGAGCTCACAGATGAAGCCTTTGGCCTGGCATCGCTGAGAAAGAGAGCGTGTGAGAGGGCGCGAGAGAGAGCGAGAGAGAGCGAGATAGAGCGAGAGAGAGCGAGAGAGAGCAAGAGAGAGCGAGAGAGAGCGAGAGAGAGAAAGCGAGATAGAGCGAGAGAGAGAGTGAGAGAGAGTGAGAGAGAGCGAGATAGAGCACGAGAGTGTGGGTGTGTGTGTGAGAGTGTGAAGGATGGCTCCTGGGCAGTTGGAGGTAGTCGCCCTCCAACAAAACTGGGGGGGGGGGTGGAGGAGCAACGCTCACAATGGAGCGCATCATAGTTGGAACAGTGGGGAGCACGGGTGGTGCATCTGCCCGTCATCGGAGTCAGTCAACCCATCGCACCTGGATCTCTCACGTGACCTCCTCCTACTGGCCTCAACGTGCGCCTAACCTGGCACGAGCGCCAGGGTGACGTTACCTCCACACCGAGCGCTGAACAGCGTCCGTTGTTTTCCCATAAACACGTGCGTGTGTTGTACATTAACGTGTGTGTATTTCGGGGCCGTCCATAAATGACGTCACGCAATTTTGGACGATTTTTACCCCCCCCCCCCCCCCGTCACACGGCATCACAAGAAGTCAGACCCCCCCACCCCTCAAATATGACGTCACAAAGCTCTGCCCCCCCCTCCCCCCCAAAAAAAAACCACATGCCTCAAATCGCTTTCAACTGTCATTGTAGTGCGTATTTAATGTGGCGCTGCACTCGGATGCTGTAGGAGAAAACATTCATTAAAAAGTCTATTTAATTAAGTAGAACGTGGTGTCTATATTTATTTAAAGTTGCGCATTTTGATGTGATGTCACATTTCTCAAACACCCCCCCCCTCGTCACGCATCGTCACAAATGTCCGACCCCCACCCCCCCCCCAGGTACGTGACGTCATTTATGGACGGCCCCATACACCCAAGTGTGCGTGTGTGCACCTGGCAGTCGAGTTTGATGTGCTTGGCGAAGGTCGTGTGGACGTCTGTGAGGGTGGAGCTCAACCGCCCCACGACCACGTCGATGAGGTCCTGCATGGAGTACATGTCCACATTCTCCACGAAGTGCTGCCTCTCCTGCAGCTGGGGACAAGCAGCAGCAGCAGCAGCAAGAACAAGAATAGTCATTACAAGCCGCCAAACTGGTCCAACGAGAGAGCCTCCAAAACACATTCCTGCAGAGGGAGCTGGTAGGAACGTTGGGTTGCTCGGTCAATGGTCAGGATCAACGGCGGCGTGGTGTATTCCGCAAATATGTCCGACTGTGAGGGCGGGCACAAGCCGGCGTGAGTAGGTTAAACGTCGAGTTTTATAAGGGCACCACCGGGTGACCAGCCCCACCCCTCCCACCCCCCACCCAGCCCCACCCCTTCCACCCCCCACCCAGCCCCACCCTCCCCACCCAGCCCCTCCCCACCCCTCCCTGCACGACGGACGGACACAATAATCCCCTGTGGGCTGGTGTAACCAGGAGGTTCCGACCAGTAATAGTAGACAATGACAAATCATTGCAAGTTGCTAAATCAGGTACAATGAGAGAGCCTCCAGTGAGCAGGGAAAACGAATTACAAGCTGCCAAGGCGATTCAGTGACAGTGCCTCCATAAAAAAAAACTACATACTGTAGTGTACATACAATAGATACGTTACAAGCTACCAATTAAATCCAATGAGTGGGGCCTCCAAAAGAACAACATTTACAAAGTAGATAAATTGCAAGCTTGCAGACGCCACCGTGATGCCGTGGTGAGCATACCAGAAGCGCACTCCAGTGGGTCCGCATTTGCATTTGATTACCCGGTGCGGCAGTTGAAACAACATATACAGGTTGAACTTCTTTTGCACCATACATAGCCAACCGTGTTATTCGGAGGCGCGGGGGGGGGGGGAAGGACAACAAACTAAGCACAAAAAGCAGTTCTAAAGAAATTAGTTTTCAAATCCAGATCATTCCAAAGTGCACTGCTCCAGTGGCTTCCTAACATCAGAAGAGCGTTCCAGACGGCCGCACAAGTGCATCTGAAAGCGCGAGACACGGTGGCCGCCTTTTTTTAGATGGCTTAAGTCAAAATCCGCTGCTGCGAGAATGACCGGAGTTCATGTGGATGATGGTTTATGGTGGAGGCCGTTCTCCCAGCAGTGGCACGAGCAATGGCAGAGCAAGCGAGTCCAATGAACGAGCGTCTGCTGCGTTACGGGAGTACACGATGGAAGTACTCGTGCTTTACCACACGCGACCTGCCGGTCAATTCACTGCGATGCATCCATTGCTACTGTGGGGTGGAAAGAGGTGGCAGGGGTGGGGGGTAGGGGGTTAACTCCCTCGCCTGGTATACAGGGTCGTGGGTTTGATCTAGACCCTGACGACGCCTGCTGTATATTTGGAGTTTGCGTGTCTCTCACTCCCAGTGGTCACGCGGATTTTTCTCCGGGTTCTCCGTTTTTTTCCCCCTCCACATTTAGAATCAACATCATGCGTTTTGAGTATTTGGCTGCGAGAAATGTCCACATAAGCCACCGCTCGTTGAGCCATCATTTGTGGCCACGTCGCTTCCGAAAAGGGCAAATAATAACCAACTTGCACCGTCCTTTCAACTGCCGAGTCAGGAGATGGAATCGAACCGGCCACCACCTCTGGATCGCAGGCCCGACGCTCTGCTGACCGTTGCACCACTGTGGCAGCAGTGCCTTCAAACTGAATTTGGGGGGGGACCCTGAAACGAAATAACTTGGGCAACCGCTGGTGCCGACCTCCAGGAGAATTCGCGACTCCAGCGCGTCTGTGCAGGTGACGAGGTACGGCTTCATCTTCAGGATGTCCGATCGCAGCTTCTGTTGTCCGCACACAGGAGGAGGTGGGTTTAGAGAAGATTTATAGAAGTGGTGGTGGTTATATTTATTTCCCACTACAGAACAAGAGCCGTGCCGAGCCAGCCCTGGCATCGATCACTCGAAGTAACCTCATCGCTAGCCCCACCCCTGGCTCTGCTTGACCGCCCCCCCCACCGAGCCAAATTTGCATTTGCATATCCCGTCCCCAACTTTCCCCGTGCCTCACCGACGGCTCACCTTGATCTGCGCCAGTTCCTCGACGTGCTTGAAGAGCAACGGGTTGATGTGCCTCACGTTGAGCACCGGGCGGCCCTGCATGAGCGTCAGGAAGCGCAGACTCGACCGGCAAACCTGGGCCACAGCGGCATCACGCAAACGCACGCAAATGCACGCACACATCACTCGCTCAGTGCTCTAGCCCTTCTAGAACATTCATATAACTTACATTTGTCACGCAGCACTCTCTTGGGCTTCATCCACCCAGTGAAGGTGGGGGGATTCCTCCCCTGGCCACCACACCTGACCTGCACCCCCCCCCTCCTCTCCACCCCCTTCACCTCTGGCCGTCCTCACCTTCTGAGATTCAAAGTCCCAGTTATGCAGGGCCCGTGCTGGGATGACCATCGCGTCGTTCCAGTGGCAGTTGGGGCAGTAGTAGCGGCCAGAGTAATCGCACAGACGGGCCTCATTGGCTACCAGGCCTGCACCCACACACACAGAGACAAAGATACCCCAGGTAGCCTTTAGCAGTCTGTTGGGACAAGTGATGTCAGCTAGTGCCAATGAAGGCCGGCATTACACACTGGGGGGTGGGTGGCCAGCACCACGCCGCCGCAGTGGTAATGCTTACACACCGCACCAAATACTTATTTGAAGCTGAGTCGACTTAGGGGAGGCCCAGGACTGGTTCAGATATTTTCATTGACGTTGGCTTGAGTCGCCAGGTTCGGAGTGGATTGTGCTAACCACTTCGCTACCGCGTCTCACAATATGCACAAACAAAGATGCTCCCTATAGTCTTAGACTGTTGAGACCAACGCTGATAGCTAGCAGCACCTATGAAGGCCGGCACGGCACATGAGGGGGTCGGTGGCTAGCACCACGCCCGGCCGCCTTTGTCTCCCTAGAGGCAATGTTTTAGTTACGCATTGTACCAGGTACTCAATTGAGGCTAAGATGGCTTTCCCCCGCACCTCCGATTAGCATGGTCGGCTACGTAAGGCGCGAAAGAAGTTCAACATACATACACACGACGCAGCCAGTCACAGGCAGAAGAGAGCGAGAGGGAGGGAGGGAGAGAGAGAGGGAGACCGTCTTGGTCCTGGTCACGAAGAAGGGGCCAGGCAGGCAGCCGGCTGGGGTAAGGAAGAGAGAGGGGGGGTGGGGGTGGAAGCTCACCCATGGCAATGGGCGTACGGCACTCGGCACAGCAGAAGCCTTGGCGGTCCAGGCCCTGCTCCGGGCAAATGCGGAGCTCAAACTCAGACTGGTGGCTAACCTTCACCCTCACGCAGCGCTTGACAATGGAGTCCAGGCATCGGCTGTGGCAGTTGAAGTGGCAGCCTGTGGCAGGAGACGTGTGTTATATACTTGTGTTGATACAGACACAATTATACGCCTTCTTGTTTCTTTCGGTAAAGTCACGTAGAATGGAAATAATAAAATAATAAAATAAAACATTATAAGATAATTCTCACGACGTTTTGGCCACAACGCAAGCAGCCGTCCTCAGGTGAAGACCAGCGTCTGTCGGGGAGGCCCAGGACTTGTCTCCCCGACAGACCTGGTCTTCACCTGAGGACGGCTGCTTGCGTTGTGGCCGAAACGTCGTGAAAATTGTATTTTATAATGTATTATTTTTATTATTTTATTATTTCCCTTCTACGTGACTTTACCGAAAGAACCAAGAAGATGAATCCCTGCAGTCACGAAAGCTTTAAATCGAAAAATACAATTATACGCATGAATATTAAGGGTGCCAGTTTGGCTTGGTGATCAGAGACGCCGTGCCGGCATTGCAGAGTTACCTGGGTTCAACTCTGGTCACGAATGACTCGCATAGACACCCACAGACTCGTATTGAAACCCATAGATTTATCTAAAGACCCATAGATTCCCATAAAAACTCACACACACACACTCGCATAGCAACCCGCAGGCACTTGTATAGACTGGCTTGTGATTAAACTGTGATCTCAAGTGCAGCGAGTTGAAGGTCTCAGCCCAGATCACCGATTACGGAGTCTATGGGTCCATATGTAGGTTAACGGGTCTCTATAAGAGTCTACAGGCCTCTATGCGAATTTACGTGTCTCTGGGCTGACAGCATCAACTCGCTTGCACTGGAGAACCCGTTGTAGTTGCTGGGGTCCACAGGGCTCAAACCCAGATTGGAACCCAGGCTCTCAGCAGTGCCAGCTGCAAGCCTCGGACCTCCGAGCCTACCCACCACCTCCGTGAAATTGTACGGTGATCTCCGCAACCCAAGCAACCCCCGCAACCCCCGCAACCCCCGCAACCTCCGCAACCCCCGCAACCCCCGCAACCTCCGCAACCCCCGCAACCCCTGCAACCTCCGCAACCGTGGCGGGTGCTGGTAAGCGGTGCGCGGATTCTGTGCTGGCGAGCAGTTGATCGGGCGGGCCCGACAGTCGATTCTGCCGGCTTCGCCCGCTCACCTGAGCAGGTGTACCAGGTCTGCAGCACGCCCCAGATGAGCGTGCTGCAACGCTCGCAGCTGTGCTTCACACTCCGGCTGTGCCGCTTGCGGAAGCGGTGATCCAGCAGCAGCTTCACGTCCGGCTCCTCGTCCTCTGGCTCCTGATGGGGAGGGGAGTGGGAGCGGTGAAGGGGTAGATAGGGGGGATGGTAGTGGGAGCGGAGGGAAGGGTTAGATAGGTGGTGGGAGGGGAAGATGAGGGAGAGGAGGGTTGTGAACGGGCGTTATTGACTATATAGATGAGCGTGGCATGCGAATGCGACCGTGGCTCAAGACGCTCCACAGGGGCAGCTACCGTGTTCCCATTACAATTCCTGATTCTGAGGTGTCCACATGAGTGCAAGAGAGCCAGTGGAGGGCTCTGTCAATTGACTGGTTCAGTAAACTAAAATAAAACTAACAATATTTTTCCTTTATTTAAAGCTTTCGTGACTGCAGGGATTCATGTTCTTGGTTATTTCGGTAAAGTCACGTAGAAGGGAAAAAATAAAATAATATAAAACAATAAAAAATTCTCACGACGTTTCGACTGCAACACAAGCAATCATCATCAGGTGTGATGATGACTGCTTGTGTTGCAGTCGAAACGTCGTTATAATTTTTTATTGTTTTATATTTATATTATTTGATTTTTTCCCCTTCTACGTGACTTTACTGAAAGAAGCAAGAATACCAATTTTAATTATTTACCAGGTAAACTCCACTGAGCCGTGTAGCTCTTCTTCAGAAGTGACCTGGCCACATATGATAGCTCAACGAAGTGGCTTCTTCTCAAGTGGAAATTCATAGCAGCAGCCAGATTCGAAGTGGGGAGAGGAAAAACCAGAGGACCTGAAGAAGAATCCACGTGACCACGGGGAAAGAGAGAGACACGCAGACACCATATATACAGGCGTCGGGCTCAGGATCGAACCCATGACCTTCTGCATACTAGGCGAGGGAGATAATATCCACACCCCCCACCCCACCCCTCCCCCCGCGTGCCTTGAGCTCCTGGATCTTGATGCGGAGCTGTACGAGCCTGGCCAGGGCCTGCTCGCGGCGAGCCGAGAACTCGGAGGCCTCCAGCACGGACACTTTGCACATCTCCACGGCGTGCTCCAGCTCCTCCAGCCGGCTCACGTGGGCCAAGCCCTGCACACACGCAGATACACACGGATATATACCTGACAAAGATCCCCCACGTGGCCTTGAACAGACTGTTGGGGCAAGTGCCGTGAGCAAGCAGCACCTATGAAGGCCGGCGCGGCACACGAGGGGGTGGGTGGCCAACACCACGCCCGGCCGCCTTTGTCTCCCTAGCTACCGATGTTTACACACCGCACCAGGTACTCATTTGAGGCTCAGTCGACCAATGGGGAGGCCCAGGACCGGTACGGATAGTCGTTACTGGTGATACCACTCCCCTATATATATGTAGTGGCATAGAATAATAGTACTGTAGCAGCGTAGCGCTGGCTGCTGGCAAGGAAGGGGATATGCAGCTTCGGCAGCCCTGACGTCAGCAGGCCACGTGATACACCAGGGGAAAGGTCACAGAAGGGGCACACAAAGAACCCGCTGGTAGGTTCTAGAAAGGGGGCGTGTCCGGTGGCGGAGCCAGGCCACACTGAGAGTAAAAGAAGGGCCCCTGTAGGGGACCTCGGGGATGTCGTATGGAGTGGGATCGCTGTCGTGCTGCTGAAGCCGTCACCATTCTTCTTGTCATCTTCACCATCCTTCTTGTCGTCGTCGTCTCAGGCAGCCTACCTACTGTCCGGACTGAGTAACGTCGCCGACCATTGACGGACTGATTATTATAAAAGTGTTCACCCCGTCGGTGCTTGTTAATAAAGAAGTGCCTCCAACTCTTAGTGTCTCCGAATTAGTCACTACATATACAACAGAGATACACACACAGATAGACACGGATATACTGTATATACAGGACACACACACATAGATACAAAGACACCCCCGTATAGCCTTAACAGACTGCTGGAGAAAGTGCTGTTAGTGAGCAGCACCTGGCACGACACACGACGGGGTGGGTGACCGGCACCAAGCCCGGCCACATTTTGGAGAGGCCCAGGACCAGTTCAGATAATCGACGCCGGTGTTGGCCGTGAGCGAGAATGGAACTCGGGTCGCCGGATTCGTAGCGCAGCGCAATTACCGCTACACTACCGCTCACGACACACGAGGGGGTGGAGGGGGGGGGATTTCTGTGTGTGGGGGGGGGGGGGATTTCTGTGGGGGGGGGGGGGGAGAGAAATATGTGGGGTATCTGTAGGGGGGGGGTATCTGTAGGGGGGGGGGAATTGTGGGGGGGGGATCTGTGGGGGGGGGGACTTCTGTGGGGGGGGGGAGAGAAATCTGTGGGGGTGCGGTATCTGTGGGGGGGGGGATCTGTGGGGGGGAGGATTTCTGTGGGGGGGGGGAATCTGTGGGGTATCTGAAGGGGGGGGGGATCTGTGGGGGGGGGGGGGCTCTCACGTGCGGGGGAGGAAAATGATTCTCCGTGAGCCCCAGTTCCGCCCCCAACTCCCACTCCGACTCCGTCTCCCGAGACTCGGAGTCGCTGGTTCCTGCAAATGCATCAGCAACATCAGCCACACCACACACTCACCACCAAGTGACGTAACCACGGCTGCTGTGCCAGGCTAGGTGCACACAACAAAGACAGTTTCCCCCACGTATATAGCCTTTGCAGACTGTTGGGGCAAGTGCTGTTAGCGAGCACTCAATTGAGGCTGACCTAAGGGAGGCACCAGAACCGGTTCAGATAATCGTCACCGGTTTTGGTGGCCGTGAGCGGCAATCGAACTCGGGTCGTCCGGGTTTGTAGCACCACCACACACACACTACATACACACTACATACTACACACACACACAAAACACACACACTACACACTACATACTACACACACACACACAAAACACACACATACACACGACATACTACACACACACACAAAACACACACATACACACTACATACTACACACACACACAAAACACACACATACACACTACATACTACACACACACACACACAAAACACACACATACACACTACATACTACACACACACAAAACACACACTACATACTACACACACACACACAAAACACACACATACACACGACATACTACACACACACACAAAACACACACATACACACTACATACTACACACACACAAAACACACACATACACACTACATACCACACACACACACACAAAACACACACTACATACTACACACACACACAAAACACACACAGACACACACTACATACTACACCACACACAAAACACACACTACATACTACACACACAAAACACACCACTACATACTACACACACAAAACACACACAAAACACCACACACACACACACCTACACACACAAAACACACACCACCACACTACACTACATACACAATACACACACACAACACACATACACAATACACACAACACTACACACACAATACACACACACACAACACACATACACAATACACACCACACTACACACACACACCACACAATACACAATACACACCACACTACACACACACACCACACAATACACACACACACCACACAATACACACACACACCACACAATACACACACACACCACACAATACACACACACACCACACAATACACACACACACCACACTACACACACAAAACACACACACCACACTACACACACACACCACACAATACACACACACACCACACTACACACACAAAACACACACACCACACTACACACACAAAACACACACACCACACTACACACACAAAACACACAAACGCCACACAACACTACACAACACTACATACACAATACACACACCACACACACAACACTACACACCACTACATACACAATACACACACCACACACACAACACTACACACACAATACACACACCACACACAACACACACAATACACACACACACAATACACACACACACTAAATACACACATACAACACAATACACATACACAACACACACAGTACACACACACAACACACACAGTACACACACACAACACACACATTACTACATACTACACACACACTACATACTACACACACACACACTACACACACACTACACACACACACCACACACACACCACACTCCACTCTACACACACAAACTTCAGTGGTGGTCACCGTGCGACTGGCCTCCTCCCTCCGCCGTCTCCTCCATGTCGCTGTTGGTGGTGGTGGTGGTGGAGTCGTCGTCGTGGGTGTTGGTGGTGTTGTTGGTGGTGGTGGTGCCGGACGACATGGAGGAGTTGAAGGGGTTCGTGAGGCTCCTTCGGAATCTCTCGAGTTTCCCCTCGTAGTCTTCAGACATGGTCCGCGAAATCGCTTCCCTTAGAAACTGCCCCTCGCCTCCCCACAGCTCACTCCGGCAAGCGACGACGCAGAGTCTATGTTGTGTGTGTGTCACTTTGTCTCCGTGTCTCGTCGGTGAGTCTGCACATGTGACCGTTTAGTCCGTTTCCGTGTGCGTCTGTCATCCCGTGCACGTAGATCTGTGCCTGCACTTCGCAAGGGTACACCTAGCCTGGCACAAGCGCTGGTGGTGATCGTCTTTATCCCACCACCACCACCAACCACCTCCTCCTCTCCCTGATCATTAAATCGCCATCGCGGTGTTCAACTCGACGCTGAAATTCTATGAGCCAACGCAGCCTGCGATCATTTTTACACGGTTCTTAATAAGGGACCGTGGTCATTTATACTGCATTGGTAAGGGACCGTGGTCATTTATACTGCATTGGCAAGGGACCGTAGTCATTTATACAGTATTGGTAAGGGACCGTAGTCATTTATACTGCATTGGTAAGGGACCGTGGTAATTTATACTGCATTGGCAAGGGACCGTAGTCATTTATATTGCATTGGCAAGAGACCGTGGTCATTTATACTGCATTGGTAAGGGACCGTGGTCATTTATACTGCATTGGCAAGGGACCGTGGTCATTTATACTGTTTAGTCCGTTTCCGTGTGCGTCTGTCATCCCGTGCACGTAGATCTGTGCCTGCACTTCGCAAGGGTACACCTAGCCTGGCACAAGCGCTGGTGGTGATCGTCTTTATCCCACCACCACCACCAACCACCTCCTCCTCTCCCTGATCATTAAATCGCCATCGCGGTGTTCAACTCGACGCTGAAATTCTATGAGCCAACGCAGCCTGCGATCATTTTTACACGGTTCTTAATAAGGGACCGTGGTCATTTATACTGCATTGGTAAGGGACCGTGGTCATTTATACTGCATTGGCAAGGGACCGTAGTCATTTATACAGTATTGGTAAGGGACCGTAGTCATTTATACTGCATTGGTAAGGGACCGTGGTAATTTATACTGCATTGGCAAGGGACCGTAGTCATTTATATTGCATTGGCAAGAGACCGTGGTCATTTATACTGCATTGGTAAGGGACCGTGGTCATTTATACTGCATTGGCAAGGGACCGTGGTCATTTATACTGCATTGGTAAGGGACCGTGGTCATTTATACTGCATTGGCAAGGGACCGTGGTCATTTATACTGCATTGGCAAGGGACCGTGGTCATTTATACTGCATTGGTAAGGGACCGTGGTCATTTTTACTGCATCGATAAGAGACCGCTGTCATTTATACTGCATACGTAAGGGACCGCGGTCATTTATACGGCATGGGTAAGGGACCGTGATAATTTATTCTGCATGGGTAAGAGGCCGTGGTCATTTATGCTGCATTGGTAAGGGGCCGTGGTAATTTATGCTGCATTGGAAAGGGGCCCTGGTCATTTATGCTGCATTGGAAAGGGACCGTGGTCATTTATGCTGCATTGGTAAAGGACCGTGGTCATTTATGCTGCATTGGTAAGGGACCGTGATAATTTATGCTGTATTGGTAAGGGACCGTGGTCATTTATACTGCATTGGTAAGGGACCGTGATAATTTATGCTGTATTGGTAAAGGACCGTGGTCATTTATGCTGCATTGGTAAGGGACCGTGATAATTTATACTGTATTGGTAAGAGACCGTGGTCATTTATACTGCATTGGTAAGAGACCGTGGTCATTTATACTGCATTGGTAAGAGACCGTGGTCATTTATACTGCATTGGCAAGGGACCGTGGTCATTTATACTGCATTGGCAAGGGACCGTGGTCATTTATACTGCATTGGTAAGGGACCGTGGTAATTTATACTGTATTGGTAAGGGACCGTAGTCATTTATGTTGCATTGGTAAGGGACCGTGGTCATTTATACTCCATTGGCAAGGGACTGTAGTCATTTATACTGCATTGGTAAGGGACCGTGGTCATTTACATCCGTTTACTCGTAAGGGAGAGTGTGTTGTTATTTATCACTGATCCCTACACCAGGGTTTTTTTTGGTCGTTTAAGACCAGCGGACTTATGGTGCTCTGCGAGGCTACCCGCGGAAAAGAATGGGACAAATAATGTTTGGGAACCGCTGATTTAGACTATTGACTCAATCAACCGCGGCGGTCACTGCACTCACGTTCAAAAGCGTCAACGACCACCCATACTCGTACAGGTCCGCGGTCGTATTCCTAGATCGTCATAGCTGTGAGAACCCCTTATCAGTGCCCTATCATATTACAGACCAATTGAGCCCTTATTGGTCATCCCGTAGCCCTTATAAATCGCAACGTTCATCCTACAATTTCCTGTACAAGAATACGGGTCAACCGTGTGGGTTGTCAGCTATGGATTGTCGTCCGTGGCCATTTGGATGCAATATTAATAAGGGACCGCGGCCATTTTGATGTAATATTGATAAGGGACCGCGGCCATTTGGATGTAATATTAATAAGGGACCGCGGCCATTTGAATGTAATATTAATAAGGGACCGCGGCCATTTTGATGTAATATTAATAAGGGACCGCGGCCATTTTGATGTAATATTGATAAGGGACCGCGGCCATTTGGATGTAATATTAATAAGGGACCGCGGCCATTTGGATGTAATATTAATAAGGGACCGCGGCCATTTGGATGTAATATTAATAAGGGACCGCGGCCATTTTGATGTAATATTAATAAGGGACGGCGGCCATTTGTATGTAATATTAATAAGGGACCGCGGCCATTTTGATGTAATATTAATAAGGGACGGCGGCCATTTGGATGTAATATTAATAAGGAACCGCGGCCATTTGGATGTAATATTAATAAGGGACCGCGGCCATTTGTATGTAATATTAATAAGGGACTGCGGCCATTTGTATGTAATATTAATAAGGGACCGCGGCCATTTGTATGTAATATTGATAAGGGACCGCGGCCATTTTGATGTAATATTAATAAGGGACCACGGCCATTTTGATGTAATATTAATAAGGGACCACGGCCATTTGGATGTAATATTAATAAGGGACCACAGCCATTTGGATGCAATATTAATAAGGAACTGCAGCCATTTGTATGTAATAATAATAAGAGACCGCGGCCATTTGGATGTAATATTAATAAGGGACCGCGGCCATTTGGAAGTTATATTAATAAGAGACCGCGGCCATTTGTATGTAATATTGATAAGAGACCGCGGCCATTTGGATGTTATGTTAATAAGGGACCGCGGCCATTTGTATGTAATATTGATAAGGGACCGCGGCCATTTGGATGTAATATTAATAAGGGACCGCGGCCATTTGTATGTAATATTGATAAGAGACCGCGGCCATTTGGATGTAATATTAATAAGGGACCGCGGCCATTTGTATGTAATATTGATAAGGGACCGCGGCCATTTGGATATAATGTTAATAAGGGACCGCGGCCATTTGGATGTAATATTGATAAGGGACCACGGCCATTTGGATGTAATATTAATAAGGGACCACGGCCATTTCTATGTAATATTAATAAGGGACCGCGGCCATTTGTATGTAAAATTAATAAGGGACGGCGGCCATTTGTACGTAATATCAATAAGGGACCACGGCCATTTGTATGTAATATTGATAAGGGACCGCGGCCATTTTGATGTAATATTAATAAGGGACCACGGCCATTTTTATGTAATATTAATAAGGGACCACGGCCATTTGGATGTAATATTAATAAGGGACCGCGGCCATTTTGATGTAATATTAATAAGGGACCGCGGCCATTTTGATGTAATATTGATAAGGGACCGCGGCCATTTGGATGTAATATTAATAAGGGACCGCGGCCATTTGGATGTAATATTAATAAGGGACCGCGGCCATTTTGATGTAATATTAATAAGGGACGGCGGCCATTTGTATGTAATATTAATAAGGGACCGCGGCCATTTTGATGTAATATTAATAAGGGACGGCGGCCATTTGTATGTAATATTAATAAGGAACCGCGGCCATTTGGATGTAATATTAATAAGGGACCGTGGCCATTTTGATGTAATATTGATAAGGGACCGCGGCCATTTGTATGTAATATTAATAAGGGACGGCGGCCATTTGTATGTAATATTAATAAGGGACCGCGGCCATTTGTATGTAACATTGATAAGGGACCGCGGCCATTTTGATGTAATATTAATAAGGGACCACGGCCATTTTGATGTAATATTAATAAGGGACCACGGCCATTTGGATGTAATATTAATAAGGGACCACGGCCATTTGGATGCAATATTAATAAGGGACTGCAGCCATTTGTATGTAATAATAATAAGAGACCGCGGCCATTTGGATGTAATATTAATAAGGGACCGCGGCCATTTGGATGTTATATTAATAAGAGACCGCAGCCATTTGTATGTAATATTGATAAGAGACCGCGGCCATTTGGATGTTATGTTAATAAGGGACTGCGGCCATTTGTATGTAATATTGATAAGGGACCGCGGCCATTTGGATGTAATATTAATAAGGGACCGCGGCCATTTGTATGTAATATTGATAAGAGACCGCGGCCATTTGGATGTAATATTAATAAGGGACCGCGGCGATTTGTATGTAATATTGATAAGGGACCGCGGCCATTTGGATGTAATGTTAATAAGGGACCGCGGCCATTTGGATGTAATATTGATAAGGGACCACGGCCATTTGGATGTAATATTAATAAGGGACCACGGTCATTTCTACGTAATATTAATAAGGGACCGCGGCCATTTGTATGTAAAATTAATAAGGGACGGCGGCCATTTGTACGTAATATCAATAAGGGACCACGGCCATTTGTATGTAATATTGATAAGGGACCGCGGCCATTTGTATGTAATATTGATAAGGGACCGCAGTCATTTACAGTCATATAAGGGACCGCAATGATTTGCCCCATAATATTGTATATACTCACAAGAAACCGCGGTCATTTACAATGCGCTGGTCTACGGCTAAGGGTCCGTGGTCACTTACACATACGGCGATTTGACAGAAGGACTGCGGCCTTTTGCGTTCGACTCTCGAAAGGGACCCGCGGTCGTTTAAAGGGCTCTGAAATTGTGAGCGAGCGCCCAGTCACTTGCGCGACGGGACGATTCTCGGAGACATTGATGGTGTGTGATGTTCGTGCGAATGATAACGAGGAGTAAATAAACAACTGCATAACGGTGCCCGCCGCACAGAGGTTAATGAACGGAAACTCGAGACACGGTCCCCCTGGGGTACTTCTTATCCACGAGAGAGTGTGTGTGTGTGCTGCTTATTCCAATAAATCTACACGGGCCGAGTCGGCATCCCGGTTCGGAATTAGCATACAATGCAGCGGACTGTACAGGGTGGTCCAGGTGTCTTGTGACCCCCCCCCCCCCCCCAAAGTTTTTTTAATTGACTCCTAACATTTTTTGTTCTTTTGCACGTTCATTTCTGTTTTCATTTCAAATAAGGTTAATTTACAGCAGAAATGAACGTGCAAAGGAACAAAACATTTTAGGGGTCAATTCATAACCTCGCAAGAAACTCATACAACACACTCGTCAGTAACGACGCGTGTGTGGCCTTAGAAGGAGATAATGTACAATATGCGACGTTTCGGGCAATACCCCCATCGCACATTTAACCAGTGGCTGAAACGTTGCCAATTAAAAATTTGATTATAATAAAAACAATTTTTAAGGGCCCACACTTGACAAGTGTGTTGGTGCGAGTGCACCATTGCCAAGCAACAGTAGCGGCAGCAGCCCCCGGATGATTGAATCCTGAAAATAAGTATATATTTTTTTAAACTCGCTTTTATGAAATGTACTGTAGTAGTAATGGAAGAACTCCACGACTCCAGGAAGTGCCCCTAAGCTTGCCATAACGTAAGGTACAGTGGCCAATTACAGCCAACGTTAGTTGAGCGTCGACAATTAGACCCAAGGCGAAACATAACATATAAAAAAGTATGTTTAAAATATATATATTTTTTATGATAGAATATAGTATTGTCATCAGTATGACATAAGTATACCAGTTTTGCAGTCGATACCACATTGGCAAGTGGGTTAAAATTGAGTTACACGATTTGAGGATACGACAACAACAACAACAAAGTGAGTTAATAGAAAGCGTGTAGTAGTAATAATAAAAAGGCTTGAGACTTTGCGAGGCTTTAATCCTTGGGTCAACAATCGGAATCATCATCAATCAATCACAATCATCTCGCTCGTAATAGTAAATCAACAAGTTGACAACACCACCACCACTGCCATACCGTGTCAACCCCGTGTTCTTGTACAGGGAAATTAAGTTTTCAGGTCCATACGGCGTACAGCCGTTTCAATACGGACACATTTTTCTGTCTATTTGTTTGTGTTTCTCCCTTGTGATGGGACTTGGTAAGACGAACGTTGAGATTTATAAGGGTACGGGGTGATCAGTAAGGTCTTAAATGGTCTGTAACAAGATAGGGCAATGATAAGGGGTTGACAGGTATGCAACTCTAGCACACGGGCTACTGTGAAACACGGATTCTAAATGGGGTCATGAACAAACAAACAAACAAAAAAACCCCAACAATAGATTGGAAGGAAAACTGAAAAGTGCGCAAAGAAGCGTGGAGAGATGCGGCGCAACGAGAGACAGAGAGGAGGGAGCGCGCGGAGGACACGGACGCAGGTTCAAGACAAGCATCTACGTCTGTTGAGAAAAGCGAGTGGGCATGGTGTGGACAGTGTCGCCTCTGACTTGGCATCCTTTATTTAACCTGCTGATGATGTGGCCTCTGCTGATGATGCGGCTGATTATGTTAGTGGTGATGATAGTGACACTGATGATGGTAGTTGTGATAATGGTAATGATGACACTGATGATGGTGGTTGTGATGATGGTAATGATGACACTGATGATGATGGCGGTGATGACGATGGTGGTTGTGGTGATGATCGTGACACCGATGATGACAATGGTGGTTGTGATGATGGTAATTATGACACCGATGATGATAGTGGTGATGATGGAGGCTTACGCGTCTCTGTCATCCGATAAGGTTGCTATCTCCCGGCTCGCCAGGATATGATGGCAGTACACCCAAGTGGATTAATTTCCATCTGTATTCCATCCGTAACACGTCACCCCGCTCGCATGTCTGGGTGCTCCAGTTTCCTCCCACAGGGATAATCACTGATGGAGTTGGCCAAACATCAACAATGTAGGACCACAGAGCTTGGGAAATTGTTCTGGCTACCTTTGCACTTTTTCGTGGCTCCCCGCACCCCTGAATTTATCTACGTAAAATGTATGCATAACACGTGAGTATTTGATTTTATGATGGTGTAGATGATAGTGATGATGCAACTTGCCAGTAAACACGCCGACACTGCCCTAAACGTTTGCACCGTGGCTGGCCCAACGTTGGCTCAACGTTCCACGTTCGCTGGGTCCCTCCTCCTGCCACTCACGGGTTCCCACGGGCTCCCTCACGCATTATCTCCACACACCTTGAGCAGGGCCTTGAGGTAGTCCCCGGACGTCTCCTCCTGGGAACACACGGGAGATGCCCACGGGTGGAGCACGATTGACCCCGACTCCTCTACCCGAGAGAACGCGGGGCTTACGTGGCAACGCGGTCTGCGCGGGTCTTACTACGCCATCCCTGTGCGAGTCTCTGGGTCTCCATGCGTGTCTGTGTGAAGTATATGGGTCTCGGTGTGAATCTAATCGAGAGCTAAATGGAGTTCAAAAGAACTTGCAAACGGACACCTCGTGAAAGACCCAACATATAAGATCCCTTGGGTTTAATCTTCCACGAAGCTCATGGTCCACCCTAAATCGCATCCACTGCACATACCTGATGAACAAATGGAAATTTTAAAACTCTCCCGTATGCGACTGTGGTCACCCAGAACAGACCGTACAACATATCATGACGCAAAGCCCGATCCACAAATACGAAGGAGACATTATGGCGATACATTCTGCTGCTCCTGACAGTTATCTGGCTTGACCACCTGAATGTGAAATTGAAGTTGTCGCTCTGCATCTACATCAGCCATACGAATAAAGAAGAAATGTAAATCCATTAGTTTTTATGCAAGTCCGTGGGCCTTTTACCTTAGTCCGTGAGTCTGTACGGAGGAAGTCATCAGTGCCGAGTCCATCATCTCGTGGCACGTGAGAAGATGGTTTCATTACAACTCGGTCAATGTGAAACCTCTCTGCGTAGTAATGGAAATATCGCGTTCACACACAGTTCTCCCCCGCCCCGCCCTCCGCTGCTATCGCGAGGCATTCGCCTTCTTCCAACGACGTGCCTCGGTTTTTTTGGACATCAGAGGTGGCAACGCTATCAACGGGCCCAGCCAGGCACCTCTCCTCCTGACATTGGTCTGTACGCTGCTAGGATGTGGAGCCACCGCGTTGCCTATTGAACTATTATTTCTTGGTAATTTTACCGGGTAAGGACCACTGAGCTTTTTCATAAGCGACCTGGCCACAAATGATAACGAAGTGGCTTATCATGTGGACATTTATAGCAGCCAAATACTTGAAATGCACGTTTGTAAATGTGGAGGCAAAAACTTGAGAGTCCGGAGAAAAATCCACGCGACCACGGGGAGAGAGAGAGAGATACACACATTCCAAATATACAGCAGGCATCCGGGGTCGGGATCGAATCCACGACCTCCTGTATACTAGGCGAAGGAGTTAACATATTGCCACCACAGGGCCCAAACCTACACACGTCTCGGCTCGTACGCCACGTGCGACGTTGACGACATTGCAGTGGGCAGAACCTGGTGCCAGGACCATGCGGAGCCAGGTCAGTGCGGCTGCGCAGTGGAAAAAAAAAGATCCGGCAAACTGTTCTCACCTTGATGGCCTGGCTCAGGGGCTTTCCGTACTTTTCCAAGTACTGGACCTTCACGTCTTGGAGGTCAATTTCGCTACGGGACACCAGCACGCGGATGAGCGTGCGGTCTTGCGTCCCGCAGCCCTGTCAGACCAAGGCGGGGGGGGGAGGGGGTGGGGCGTGAGAGGTCAAGCAGCCCTGTAGCATAGTGGGGTGGGGGGGCATGCACACTTCATAGGTGGCACGAGGGAGGCAGTGTTAAGCTGTCAGCGAGTGGTAACCGCCAAACAGATCGAGCATCGACGATCCGCGTTTTTTGTCGTGCGGTCTGGTCTGGAAGAAATGCTGTGATGCCCATCGCTTCGCTGTATGTATGTTGAACTTCCTTTGCACCGTACTTAGGCAACTGTGCTCATCGGAGGTATGTATGCAGAACTTCTATCACGCAATACATAGCTAACCATGCTAATCGGAGGGTGCGTCGTATGTATGTAGAACTTCTTTCACACCATACATAGCCAACTGTGTTCATCGGAGGCATGTATCTTGAACTTCATTTGCACTGCACGTAGTCAACCGTGCTAAGCGGAGGTGCATTGCATTCAGATCCTCACCCGGCAGCGACAGCAGAACGGTGAGATCGAGCGAAATGAAGCCGGGGGAGTTAAACGACGGGATCGATACCAACACTGGGCGTAGCGTGCGTGCAATTCCCACCTGCCTAGGGTCTCGCCAGAGCTGCCTCTCGCTGGAGGACCTGCCACAGTAGTGGCACGAGAGAAGCAATTGCAGGGCTGAGCCTTTGCCCTTTATCGAAGCAGACGATCAATGCAATTGGTGCAAAGCTTCGAGAAGATCCAAAACTGCTGTTTTTAAAAATAATTTCTGACCTGACCACAAGACTTGAAAATGGGGGCTGATCCTTTAGTAGTGGTGGGGAAGCGTGGGGGGGGGGGGGGGAACGAGGGTTTAGCCCCCCTTCCAGCTCCCCTTCATGGTCGGGTGAACTATGGTTAAATAATCCTCCGAAGCCCAGCAGCGGATTGTCAAAAGGGCTCTCTGTTCATGAACAAAATGAATGCCTGGAGTAGATTTAACAACGCACGTGCGAGTGCACGCAGCATACCCATGTACGGAGACCCTCTCAGCCTTATCCAGCCACGGTGGTGAGATGTGATCTCCCTCGCCTGGTATCCAGGAGGTTGTGGGTTCGACCTTGACCCTGACGCCGGCTGTGTATTTGGAATTTGTGTGTTCACTCTCCTCGTGGTCGTGTGGATTTTTGTCCGGGTCCTCCGGTTTTTCCCTCCCCGTTTAGACTCAACATCACGCGTTTAGAGCATTTGGCTACAATAATAGTTACACGCGATAAGCCACTTTGTTGAGCGGTAATTTATGGCCAGGTCGCTTCTGAAAAAGAGCTATGCAGCCTTAGTGAGCCTTACCTGCAATTTTTTTTTAATAACTCAAATGAACTGAATGCGTGGCAATTTTCATCGCATATATGGATTTCCGAAGCGTCTTTAAATAAATGGATGCTCCAATGTTTCCTTTTCACCTTGCATGCCGAGTTCAGTCGCTCAGCGAAATAGGTGGCGGTGTTCTTGGCACACTTCACTGCAAGGGAACAACACAGACGCAGAGGGAAAGCTGACAGGCCAGGCCGTCAAAGGGAACCTCCGCTTCATTTGCGGAGTTTAAAGGTGCAGAACATCGTGGCGTGTCCGACCGTCGCCCGATCCGCCCTGACCAATCGACTGCCCACACCCAGTCCAATGTTTGTGCATATTATTATCACTACGCTTGTTTACCCAGGAAAGCTTCATAGAGTCTCAAGACTGTTTTTCAGGAGAGTCCTGCCAATTTTTCGCCGGACGGAGCGATGCCGCCGCAGCTGCTGCTGTGTGTGTGACCCCGCATTGGAATGTGTTTTGGCCGATGCCGGTTACGTTGTGCGAGTGTTTTAGCTATGGGGGGAGGCCACCAGAGTACCTGGAGAAAAACCCATGCAGAGCAAACTCCACGCACATAGGAGTCAGGAATCGAGCCGGGGACCTTCTGGCTGCGAGGCGCGAGCGCCACCACTACGCCACTGTGCCGCTCACTGTATCCGACTTCTCCATACATCCGCCTACACCTCCACAGCGAGTTGGATGTGTGACGTTGAGATGCGCAGAGAAATGTGCGTGTTTTGCACACTTGTAGATGTGTGTGCGTGTGTGCGGGGAGCGGCGGCGCAGTGGTTAGCACTGAATTGCACTCTGGACTCAGCGACCGCCAGTTATTTTGCTGCTCACGGCCAACATCGGCGACAAATATCTGAACCGGTCCTGGGCCTCCCCTAGGTCGGTTCAGCCTTAACTGAGTGCCTCGTGCAGTGTGCATGAAACATTGCCACTGGGGCGACCAAGGCGGGCGGGCACAGCGCTAGCCATAGGTGCTCACTAGCAGCACTTGGCCCAACAGGGGTGGACAAGGTGGTGGGATGTTAACTACCTCGCCTGGTATACAGGAGGACGTGGGTTTGATCCCGATCCTGACGTCTGCTGCATATTAGGAGTTTGCATGTTCTCCCCGTGGTTGCGTGGATTTTTCTCCGGACTCTACGGTTTTTCCCTGCACATTTAGAAACACGCGTTTCGAGTATTTGGCTGCTATAAATGTCCACATGATGTGTGCCACTGCGTTGAGTTATCATTTGTGACCAGGTCGCTTCTGAAAAAGCTATTCAGCTCGGTGAGCCTTACGTGGTAAAATTTAAAATTGTTTGGTTTTTAGTTTAGTTTAGCAGTCTGATAAGTTTATACGAGGGATCTTTGTCCGTGTGTACATGTGCACGTGCGTCCGCACCTATGACCAGCAGTAGGTCTCTGAAGGACCCCGAAGTCTCGCTCTTGATGACGTCCTCCAAGTCCTTGGAACTCACCTGGCGGTACTCCTCAAACACTGTGGAGAACAAAGACACAGATCCCCGTATAGCCTGAACAGACTGTTGGGGCAAGTGCTGTTAGCGAGCACCTATGAAGGCCAGCACGGCACACGAGGGGGTGGGTGGCCAGCACCACGCCTGGCCGTCTATGTCTCCCCAGTGGCAATGTTTACACACTGCACAAGGTACTCATTTGAGGCTGAGTCGACTTAGTGGAGGCTCAGGACCGGTTCAAATAATCGTCACTGGTGTTGGTCGTGAGTGGGATTCGAATACAGGTCGCCAGGTTTGTAGCGCAGTGTGCTAACCACTACGCTACCATGTGGAGAACACATGCACACACGGGCACCGGCGTGGTGAAGTAGGTCAAACCAACCCCCATGACTGACACGGCGTCTCGTCCAGCACTGGATTTACCACGTGCTGCAAATTATTTTCATCTAAACTGAAACTGAACTTTTTCATTTTACCAGGTAAGGCCCATTGAGATATACGTGCTCTTTTTCAGACGCGACCTGGCCACAAACGATAGCTCAACGAAGTGGCTTATCATGTGTAAATGTATAGCAACCAAATACTCGAAAAGCATGTTGATTATAAATGTGGAGAGAAAACCGGAGGGCCCGGACAAAAATCTACGCGATCACGGGGAGAGTGAGCATGCAAACTCCAAACATACAGCAGGCGTCAGGGTTGGGACCGAGCTCACGACCTCCTGTATACCAGGCGAGATAGTTAACATCTTGCCATCGTGGCGAATGGGAAACCTGAACGAGGGGGATGAAGAAAGCCCCAGGGGGTGAGGAGGGAGTTGGCGTAAAGAGATGGAGGAGAATACAATTTGAAAAAAGAGACAAAAATAAAACTATATTTTTCGTTCGATAACAAAATATTCGACCTCACCAAGTCTCAAGACTCTTTTTCAGGAGGATCCTGCCACGTGTCTTTCGTGGTAAGGGAGGGGGGACAATGTTGCCGCTGCTGTTTGATCCGAATTGAATAATTAGTGGTGTAATTTTTCTGAATTATTTGACAAATACCGGTCAACAATACAAAGACTCCCCCTATAGCCTTAACAAACTCTTGGAGCAAGTGCTGTTAGCGAACACCTACGAAGGCCGGCACGGCACACGAAGGGAGTGGGTGGCCAGTGTTTGTCTCCCAGTGGCGATGTTTAGACACACTGCACCGGGTACTCATTTGAGGCTGAGTCGACCTAAGAGAGGTCCAGGGCTGATTCTGAAAATCGTCACTGGGTGTTGGCCGTGAGCGCGAATCGAACTGGGCTCGCTGGCTTCGTTAGCGCGGCGCTAACCGCTGCATACCCTCGCGCACTCTGCAGAACGGGGGGGAGAACGCACAAACTCCACGCGGAAAGACGCCTGAGTCGGGAACCGAACCCAGGTCCTAGTTGCTGCGAGGCAGCGCGAATGTCGCCGCTGCCGCGCTGCCGATGACTGGGATCGGGCGTCCCACTCACCCAGCTTGAGCTGCGGGACGCTGCGGCCACACAGCACGGAGATGAACGTATCCTCATTCGTCCCGACCTTCTTCTCTCCAGCCTCGTACAGCACCTGGGGTCCACACCACACAAAGACGAAGATCCCCCGTGTAGCATGAACAGACTGCTGGGACAAGTGCTGTTAGCGGGCACCTATAAAGGCCGGCACGGCACACGAAGGGGGTGGGTGGCCAACACAATGCCCGACCGCCTTTGTCTCCCCAGTGGCAATGTTTACACATTGCACCAGGTACTCATTGGAGGCTGATTCGACCTAGAGGAGGCCCAGGACCGGGTCACCAGGTCCGAAGCACAGCGTGCTAACCGCTACACCACCGCTCCCCACAGGTAGGTAGCCAGCACCACGCACGCACACACACGCAGGGTCCCTCTTCTTGTGAGTGGAGGTGCGTGCTGGGCTTAGGTAGGGTGCAGTCATTGCATCTTTGCCCCCAATATTAATGCAAATCATTTTTCTGGATGTCAGGCACAGGGAGCAATATTACAAATTATTCGTTGATATTTGAATGCTCTGCTGGAATTTATACAAATTAAGTGCAATCATTGCTTATTTTCTTATGTGTGCAAGCATTGGTGACCGGGTTGAAGCCATCGACTCAACACTGAGTCTATGGGTCTCTGTGTGAGTCTATGGTTCTCTGTGTGAGTTTATGGGTCTCTGTGTGAGCCTATCGATCTCTAAGTGAGTAAATGGGTCTCTATGTGAGTCTATAGTTATCTGTGCGAGCCTATGGGTCTCTGTGTGAATCTATGGGTCTCTATGTGAGTCTACGGATCTCTGTCTGAGTCGATGGGTCGTTGTGTGAGTCTTCGGGTCTCTAAGTGAGTCTACGGGTCTCTAAGTGAGTCTACGGGTCTCTGTGTGAGTGTTTGGGTCTCTATGTGAATCTTTGGTCTATTTGAGTCTTTGGGTCTCTATGTGACTCTATGGGTCTCTGTGTAAGTCTGTGGCTCTCTATGTAGTCACCGGTGACCAGGCCGAGACCATCAACTCACCACATTTGAGAGCCCGGTTTAACCACAGGCAGTTGAACCCTGGATTCGAACCCAGGTGTCGGCTCAGCGCTCTGACCTCTGAGCCACCCGGGCTCCCCCACTCTTGTTCCTCCGAGCCCCCTCTATTCCCCATGACGCTTGCTGCTCCCACCCCACAATCCGGACACGCGACCTCTTGACCTTTACCTTTGCATCCTTCTGTGCCTGCTGGGGGTCTGGTTTTCCACTTTCATCACGGCTGCCCTGTGGAGGTCATCATCATCATCAGTATAATCATAATCCGTGTTGTCTTCGTCTTACTAATCATAGTCATCATCAGTGTCATCAGTGTTGTCGATTAGCACAGTTGGCTATGTACGGCGCGAAAGAAGTTCAACATACAATAATCAGAGTCATCATCATCTTCATAGCTATTTTAGTCACCATCATTGTCGCTGCCATCATCAACCATAACCTTTACCCCTAATACCAACCCTAATTCTAATCCCAACTGTAACCTTAACACTCATTCCCTCTGACTCACCCTCGTCATCATGATCATCATTGTGGTCGTCATCACCGAGCCGTACCCAACCCATAACCACAACCCTCACAATAACCTTTAACATGCTTCCCCTCACTTGCGAACACCAACCCTAACTTTGACTCTCAACTCCGAGCCCTGTTCTTCGTGTCTCACCCTCAGCAGGGTCAGAAGTGTCTTTTCAAAGTAGCCGGTCGTATCAGAGCCAATGTCATCGTCCGGGCTAGTCTTGTACTCTGTGGGAGACGGCCAGAGACATGGGAAGACATTGGGAGACATTGGGGGAGACAATGGGAGACATTGGGAGACAGTGGACGACAGCGGGAGTCAGTGGGATACATTCGAAGATAGTGGGAGACATCAGGAGACAGTGGGAGACATGATAAGATATTAGAAGACAGCGGGAGACAGTGGGAGACATTGGGAGACATTGGGAGATTTTGGGAGACATTGGGGGACATTTATGTATTTTGATTCCTACGTGTTGTAGGTAATGCGTTTATGTGACTTCTCCAGCCACGAGAAGCAGCTACATTATGAGTGAAATTACTGTACGGTAATCTATTCTCGAATTGCATTGCGATATTGAATTATGGCCACAATTTTGATGCAGATGAGCTGGATGGTGGGGAGGAACAGGTAAGCAAGGTGACTGATAGTAGTGAGGGCCAGTGAGCTGGGTGGTGGTGGTGAGGGCCGCTGAGCTGGGTCGTGAGGGCTGGTAAACTGCGTGGAAGCGGTGAGCGCCGGTACCTTCGCGGTATGCGAGCGCCAGCTCCCCCAGCTGCTTGTTGGTCCGGGTGCCGAGGATCTCCATTAGAGTCTCCTCATTGGTACCGGCGCCCTGCGGAGGGACACGCGAGTGAACTTACTCACCCACTCATTCACCGACTCACTCACTCACCCACTTACCCACCACTCAATCACCCACTCACTCACCGACTCACCCACTCACTCACTCACTCACCCACTTACCCACCACTCAATCACCCACTCACTCACCAACTCACCCACTCACCCATCCACTCACCCATCCACTCACTCACCCAGCAAGTCCGGAGTTCATAAACTCACTCAAGAAAATGATGCACTTATCGACTCACACTCTCACTCATTTAATTATTTACCGATAGACTCACCAACCGTCTCATCCACTCACACACCCACTCGCCCTGCAGCTCACACACCTGCCATCCCCGTCTTTCACCCGCCTGTCCGTCTCGTCAGTCACCCACCCACCCCATCGCTCGCCCACCTACCCCATCGCTCGCCCACCCACCACCCACCCTGTCGCTCACCTTGATGGCATTCCGCAGGTCCTGCGCATCCAGCATGGCCGGCGTGAGCAGCAGAGACACGAGGAGTCTTCCCAGGTCTCCGGACACCTCAGATTCCACCTCCGACACCAGCGACTGTCAGTGAGAGAGTGGGCCTGAGGGTGAGCGTTGCGTGGGGGAGCGGGGATGAGCATGTAATTTAAGAAAATATTAAAATATAACCTATTTAGTAAAACCTCACGGATGTTTATTCTTGCAAAGACAGCGCTAGAGTGTTGCTGCTTTTAGGGGCTCAGGCCGGAGACAACCAGGTATATAGGTCATGGGTTCGATTTTTTATTTTGGTTTAGGGTTCGTGTTTTGGGTTCGGGTTTAAGCTGGGGTTTGTACTTCGGGTTTAGGATTCGGGTTATGGTTAGGATTTAAGTTATGGTTATTTACTCAACTACCAAATTCTTCATCAGGTAAAGCCCACTGAGCTTTTCGGCTATTTTTCATAAGCCTGGCCACACGTGATACCTCATCAAAGTGGCATCATCATCATCGACACAAACACGTGTTTGTAAATGTGGAGAAGGGAGGCAGGAACGTGGAAAGAGAGAGATCAAGCGGACTCCAAATACACATCAGGCATCGCCAGGGTCCAGAATCGAACCGATGACCTTCTGCAGAGTTTCTATGTTGAGCTCGGCTTACAGTTGAGGTTCAGTGTGGTTGTTTTTTGCCTGTATGTCGGGTTTCGGGGGTTAGGTGTCACGTTCGGGTTGTGTGCGCGTCAACTCCGAGTCTCCGTCACCTTCCCCGTGAGGCTGCGGAACGCCGCGGTGATTTGCTGTCGCTGAGCGGCGCTCCGCTGTGTCAGGACGTCGATCATCGCATCCTCGTCCGTGCCTGGCGACGCCACATGCCGCATGGTTGAAAAATAATTTCTTTAGAACTGCTTTTCTGCGTTTAGTTTGTTGTCTTTCCCCCGCACCTCCGATTAGCACGGTTGGCCCACTGAGCTTTTCTAGATTTGAAGCTTTCGTGACTGCAAGGATTCATACTCTTAGTTTTTTCGGTAAAGTCAAATACAGCAAATCTGGCTGTGACGGTCCCACCTGATGACGGAGACTTGTGTTGCCTCCGAAACGTCGTGAATTGTATTATTTTATTTTTATTAATTTTAATTTCATTTTTTACCTACGTGACTTTACCGAAAAAACTAAGAGTATGAACCACTGAGCGACATAGCTCTTTTATAAATGGACCTGGCTACACATAAAATCTCAACGAAGTAGTTTATGTTGAAATTTATATCAGCCAAATATTCTAAAAGCTTGTTGATTCTAAACGTTGAGAAAAAAACCGGAGGACCCGGAGGAAAATCCATGCGGCCATGGGGAGGATATGCAAACTCCAAATATACAAGCATCAGGATCGAATCCACAACCTCCCGTATACCAGGCATAAATCTGGTATACAGGAACATAAACCATCACGCGAACTATGGTCATCCTCGCAGCAGCCGCTTGTGGCTAGCCATCGAATAAAGATGCTCACCGCATCGCGCACTTTAAGATGTGCTTTTACGACCGTCTGGAATGCTCTTCCGATATTAAGAAGCCACTGGAGCTATGCACTTTTAAATCAACTAGAATTAAAACTAATTTCTATAGAAATAATTTTTGTGTTCAGTTTGCTGTCCATTCCCCCACACTCTGGTTACCACGGTTGGCTACGTACAGTGTGAACGAAGTTCAACATACACATATATATAAGCATTCTAACGTTGGTTCAACGTTGGCATGTGGTTGAATCCATTGGCCCAACGTTGAGCCAACGTGAGCCAACGTTGGGGTGAAAGTTGGGCCAAGGTTCCATATTTGTGGGGGAGTAGTTACCCAGGCCCCGCATCGCTTTCTTGAGTCTCTCTGCGTCGGTCTTTGCATCAAACGTGGTACTCGGACGAATGGTTCCACGCGATGGAGCCTGGGGCATAATCATCGTCATCACCATCTTAGTTAAAATCATCATCATCATTAACATCATTAACATCATTGTCAATATCAACGTCATCATAACTAAATCATTAACATTATCATCATGAACATCATTATTCATATCACCATCATCATAACGCAAATCATGATCATTTACATCTCTATCCTCAATATCAGCACAATACACATCATAATACTGTACATGTCATTGTCAAAGGCGCTATATTAAACATTTGATTGGTTGATAAACATCATCATGAACACCATCGTTAAATTCACCATCAATCTGAATTATTATTAATGCATTAGTGTCCTCAATTTCATCATCAGCAACACATTTATCACCACCATAATTTACAACATCAACAAGAAAGTTGATCATCATCATCATCGTCATATACATGAACATCTTAAGTGGCATCATCATCGTCGCGTGCAACGTGTATGTATTTGAACTTCTTTCGCACCGTACACAGATAACCGTGCTAATCGGAGGTGTGCACGTGTGGGTGCAGTGAATCGGCATTGATGTCACGAGTTTGTGATGGACGGTCAAGGATAACGATGGAGTGGCAGCCAATGAACGGAACGCGTTCGCGATGATGTTCAGCGTGCAGATGGAGGATACGAACGCAGCTCGTGCCCAGGTGCTGCGTGGATTATTACATTACTTGGACCAGTGGCTTGGGGAGGTCCTTCATCCAGCAGTGGATCGACCATGGCTGCTGCTGCTGCTACGACTGCTGCTGATGATGATGATTGTACTGGGCAGGTCTGAATGCATGGGCATGAATTGTGTGAGTGCCGTTTGCTGCTTACAGAGGGTTAACACGGAACCACGACGAGTACACGGGTGCAGTGGGTGGTAGTGGTACTCGCAGGAACTCACGGTGGCGGGCAGCATGACTCCTGCTTTGTACTGCTTGGCAAAGTCTGTGTGAGAGATAACGCATAGAGGGAATTCACTCCCCAGGTAATTTACTCATGGGGCATTCACTGCGCACTCACTAACACGCTCACTCACCAACCAATCCACCACTCAACCCACCAACTCGCCAAACTGCAGGTCACAAAACGTTTCTTTCCGTTTCTTCCCTCGCAATGCTCCCTCCACTTTAGAATTCCCTCCCGTAGCCTCTTTTCCCAAGAACAATCAGGGGCGGCCCTAGACGAGCTGCCAGCAATTGGCGCCCGAGGCGAACCATGCAATCGGCGCCACTACCCCCAAACCCAAAGGGCAGATCTCGGCTGAGGTTTTTGGTAAACTGGAAAAAAATGTGCCCATATTTTCCGTTTAATGTTTTGTTGAGGCGTATTCTTTTTAAACAGAGGCATCATTATTCGGGTTGTCCGTCTGTCGAACCAATACATTCTCAGAAATATTGAGAAATTAATCATGAATCATATTCCCTCTGTACGCGCATGGGGAATTGAAATAACGACATCTTCGTTATTTTACTTGTATTTTTATTTATTTCTATTATTATCCTGGAATTTGTCGCCCTAGGCAGAACCGGCCCTAGACCTTTGGGGGCCCTAAGCAAAATTTGGTTGGAGGCCCCTTTGATGTATGATTTTTTTCACCCACTCGCTAGCAGTGACTCTAGGGGGCCCTCTGCTGGCCACGGGGCCCTTTGCAATTGCAAGGGTCGCTTAGTGGCTGGGCCGGCTCTGGTCCCTAGGCGACCGACCCTCCAGTTCGCCGAAATGGTCGGGCCGCTCCTGACAAGAGTCTTGCTCGATCCCATCGACTCGTTAACGCTTCGGCTCTGTGCTCAACATCCGTGCACTGTAAACAGAAATCAAGTCAAGCGCACGGTTGTCGCTTGCGATGATTGATGCAGTACCGGTTTCTCCGGATTTTCCTACGCTCTCGACAAAGTAAGGCTCACCCCCCCCCAAATCGCGTTCACGATGTCAAGAAGCCGACACAGCTCTTGGTCACTCGCACCATTAATTATGAATTTTCAATTCAAAGAGGATGTGGAGTAAGGGGTGCGTCTTGTAATCCGTAGAATATAGTAATAACAGGGCGAGTCCAAACATGGCTGCCCGGGCGCGTCATTAATCTATTAACAGCAGTGATCTGGTGACGCTACCGCTGCCGCGTTGGCAGTGGTGCACAAGCGCAGCCAACAATCGCAACAACAATTCGCAACGTTGCGTCAATAGCACGGCGGCCTTAGAAAGGTAAAGCATATAAGCTGAGACGTTTCAGGCAATGACCCTTCTTCGTGGTACATCAAATAGAGAGGCCAGATCGACAGGGTGTATGACAGGCGTTGGAGTCTGGGGGGGAGGGGGGGGGGACTCATCAGGCCACGTGGTGTAAAACATGTCTCGTTAAGGAGCATAAACCATCAATCACGAGAACTCCGCTCATCCTCGCGGCAGCAAGCAGCGGTTTTTGGCTGCTGCGATCGAACCGAAGACGATCAACCCCGTCGCGCGCTTTCAGACGCGCTTCTGCGGCCGTCTGGAACGCTCTTCCTTCCGATATTAGGAAGCCGCTGGGGCTGTGCACCTTAAAGTCACTTAGGTTGAAAACACATTTCATTCAGTTCAGTTCATTTGTTAGATACTAGCTTTACTACCCGGCTTCGCCCGGGACTTAGATTCACCACGCCCGGCCGCCTTTGTCTCCCCAGTGGCGATGTTCACACACCACACAAGTTAATTGTTTGAGGCTGAGTCGATCTAGGGGAGGTCCAGGACCGGTTCAAATAATCATCACCGGTGGTGGCCGTGAGCGGGAGTCGAACTTGGGTCGCCGGGTTCGTAGCGCAGCACGCTAACCGCTACACTACAATGCGTTACGCTTCCACATGCGCGGGTCACGTGACAGATTTGACGTCACAGCTCACTTGCCGTGCAAAAAAATTGTGCATTATTGAGCTACCCCCCCCAAATAAAAAAACAAGTGTATTTTTATAATTTGTGCATGGTGTACAGTCTCGACAGTACCCACATGGCACATTTCAAGTTTGTTGTATGTCGGGAAGTACGCTAAACATTTTGAACAGACACATGTTCACAACTTTGCCCTTTATATATACAGTATGTAGATAACCCTGTGAGCCATGCGGCTCTTGACTCGGGTGCAACCGCAACAAAACAAAAACACGAACAAGAAACATCTTAAAGTGACTACACGCAACAGAAAACCCCTAGAAAAAACAGCAAAGTCTTCCAGAAAAATCACCTAATTTCAATGCCGTGTGCAAAAATCCCAGTGGGATGCAAGTCAAACAATAGCAACCACAAGACAATGTAGATTAAAGTTATCAGGCTAACTCTGTACTACAAGAAACAAACATGGCTAAACCAAAACGTCTTCAAAATCACCAAAGTAAAGCTATAAAAACAATGTAACAGTGATAAAATGTAACAATAAACGGTAAACATAACATGTACGACCAAACTTTGCAGCCATAGTTGGCTGCATTCCGTTGTCCCTTCCCGCGCACCTCCCGATTCGCACGGTTGGCTACGTGCCGTGCGAAATAAGTTCAACACACACACGCGCACACACACACACGCACACACGACGTAGCGAAACCGGTCTCGTTTCTGGACTGTCAAGAAACCCCATCGCGAACGTCCCCCGGTCAAACCGGGCACGTTGAGACTCGAGACTGCAAGTGGCGGACGGGGGAGCGGCTCGTGCTGCAATGGTTTTACGCACCGGACTTGCAACCCGGAGACTCATGACTTGTAAACAACTCTAGATTTGAAGCTTTCGTGACTGCAAGGATTCATATTCTTGGGTTTTTTCGGTAAAGTCACGTAGGTAAAAAATAAAAATTAATAAAAGTAAAATAAAAATAAAAATCACGCTTGCTGTATCAAGATACACATCAAGATATCAAGATAGAGCAAGCGTGCTGTGACGGTTCCACCTGAAGACGGAAGCTTGTGTTGCCTCCGAAACGTCGTGATTTTTATTTTTATTTTACTTTTATCAATTTTCATTTTTTACCTTACGCGACTTTACCGAAAAAAGCCAAGAATATTTTAAACAACTTTCATTGCCGCCAGCAGCAACAACACTGGAGGCAATTTCGATACGAAATGCACAAAGTCACCAGCAAATGAATGGAAATAAACGCTACAAATCCACGCGCTGTGGCGCTAAAAGCACCGCGCACAACACGAAAGAAAAGTCACGTGGTGGCGGTGGTGGTGGTGGTCATCGCGCAAACCGGGAGAGGTTCGCCGGTTCGAATCGATCTCCCGGTGCGGCATTTGAAACCACGGTGCAAAATTCTTCACCCCCTCCCCTCTTCCGCCTCCTCGCCGAGCGCTGTCCACACAGCAGTGTAAGTGCGATCCGCCGCGGTTATGGGGCCGTCCATAAATGACGTCACGCGATTTTGGACGATTTTTGACCCCCCCCTCCCTTCGTCACACGGCGTCACAAAAGTCAGACCCCCCCCTCAAATATGACGTCACAAAGCTCTGCCCACCCCCCCCCCCAAAAATATAAAACATGCTTCAAATCGCTTTAAACTATTGTTATTGTAGTGCGTATTTGATGTGGCGCTGCACTCTGATGTTGTAGGAGAAAACATTTATTAAAAAGTCTATTTAATTAAGTAGAACGTGTTGTCTATATTTATTTAAAGTTGCGCATTTTAATGTAACGTCACATTTCTCAAACACACCCCCCCCCCCCATCGTCACACATCGTCACAAATGTCTGACCCCCCCCCCCCCCTAGGTGCGTGACGTCATTTATGGACGGCCCCCTCGTCGATCTGCAAGCCGTGTGTGGTGGGGGTAGAGCGTGGGTTGCTTCCACCTCTTCTTGCTACGAAGTTTGGTCCGCGTGGAAAAGTAGGCCAAATACAACTGTAGCCGCTGCCTCCCGCAGTGGCGGTGCGCAGAGCCTTTGCCTCCGTTTTAGTTGTTCGTGCAACGCCCGTTCGTCAATCCACTGCTGGATGTGTACCCACCCTCCCTCTTTCTCCGTGTCAGTCAGGGGAAGGTGTTTGACCATACTTCACCACGTCTGTGGTAGACGCCACTGATGTTTGCCGCGGGTGGTACAGACGGGCGTTGGGGGGGGGGGGGTCGTGGCCTTCATCGAGCAGTGGATTGATCCTGACTGCTGATGATGATTATGGAACAATAAGACGCTCCGGAAAGTAAGAACGCACCCCGAACGCGGTGTCAAAGTTTATACAGATGTGGTTACTCGGAAGCACACACACACACGTACCGGATTATACGACGCACCCCAAACGTTCGCTTTAAAACATTGGTGGGGTGGGTGGGGGAGACTTGAGGTTGCGGGGAGTGCGTCTTATAATCCGGAGAACACAGGTAAATCGACGTGATCGGAGGCTCACTCACCTGCCAACCGAAGCACTTGCCCGTGAGACGTTTAACTCCAGCAGGTGACGTCTGCAATGTAATACGTTTAGCTTCTTTCGCGCAGTACGTGGCCAACCGCGCTCATCGGACGGTGCGCAGAGACTGATGCAAGCCGACGCGGTGTCTATCGCCGTGTGTCTCGGTGTGTTGATAGCTGAGACACGAGCCGTGTGGCGAGGTGGTGAGTGACGAGGTGGTGAGTGAGTCAGCGTGTTCGTGGTGGTGGTGGTTTGAGTTGTGCAAGGGATGGGTGTGGAGACTGCGCGCGGGACTGTTGGCGGCACGGGGAGGAAGAGGAAGATGAGGAATGTGGAACAATACAAAGACAAAGATCCCCCGTATAGCCTTCATATACTATTTGGGGCAAGTGCTCTTCGCGAGCACCTGTGAAGTCCGACACGGCACACGAGGGGGTGGGTGGCCAGCGACATGCCCGGCCGCCTTTGTTTCCCCAGTGGCGATGTTTGCACATTGCGCTGAGTCGACCTAATTGAGGCCCAGGACCGAGTCAGATAATTTCATCGTCACTTGTTGGCGTGGAGCGGGAATCGATCTCGGGTTGCCGGGTTCGTAGTGCAGCGTGCTAACCGCTATCCCCACCACCCCGAGACACACACCCAACCAGACACACACCCAACCAGACACAGACCATCACAAAGACAAATCCCTGTATTGCCTTAACAGACTCTGGGGGGGGAAGTGCCGTTTGAGAGTAGCAGCTATGAAAGCCAGGACGGCACACGAAGGGGTGGGTTACCAGCACCACACCGCACCAGGTACTATTTGAGGCTGAATCGACCTACAGGAGGCCCAGGACCGGTTCAGAAGTGTCGAACAACCGCTGGCAGGAGGTCACGGGGCAGACTCAGGTGCCACGGATCGACTGACTGAGATGACTGAAACGACTGGCTGATGCACCACCTGTGCCCCCTACTGTGCCAACTTGCTGTACTTTATCCACCCGGCGCTCCGCTCGTTGTTGTGAGCGTCGCTCCTCCGCCCTCCGTTGTTGGTGGAGGGCGACTGCCTCCAACTGCCCAGTAGCATCCTTCACGAGCCTCCTCCACAGAGGCCGATATTGACACCGCTGGCAAGTCCACTCAGCTCCACATCCTCCTGTACCACATCACTCCATCTCTTCTCGAGCCCGTGCCGCGCCCGTTTAGCCCCCTCTATCCGGCCGAACAAAAGCTGTTTAGGCATGCGGTGGCTGGGCATCACACACAAAGACAAATATCCCCCGTATAGCCTTAACAGACTGTAGGGGCAAGTGCTGTTAGCGAGCACCTAAGAAGGCCGGAACGGTACACGAGGGGGTGGGTGGCCAGCACCACGCCCGACCGCCTTTGTCTCCCCAGTGGCGATGTTTACACACTGCACCGGGTACTCATTTCAGGCTGAGTCGACCTAGGGGAGGCCCAGGACCGGTTCAGATAATCGTCATTGGTGTTGGCCGTGAGCGGGAATCGAACCCGGGTCGCCAGGTTCATAGCGCAGCGCGCTAACCGCTACACTACCGCTCCCCACACACCCTATCACACACACACCTCATCCCACACACACACATCCCATCACACACACCGCATCACACACACCCCATCACACACAACCCATCACACACACCCCATCACACACACCGCATCACACACACACCACATCACACACCCCCATCACACACACCCCATCACACACCCCATCACACACACACACACCCCATCACACACACACCCATCACACACACACCCCCATCACACACACCCCATCACACACACCCCATCACACACATACACCCATCACACACACCCCATCACACACAACCCATCACACACACCCCATCACACACCCCCATCCCACACACAACCAATCACACACAACCCATCCCACACTCACTCCATCACACACACACACACCCATCACACACAACCCATCCCACACACAACCAATCACACACAACCCATCCCACACTCACTCCATCACACACACACACCCATCACACACAACCCATCCCACACTCACTCCATCACACACACACACACCCATCACACACAACCCATCCCACACTCACTCCATCACACACAACCCATCCCACACTCACTCCATCACACACACACACCCATCACACACAACCCATCCCACACACAACCAATCACACACAACCCATCCCACACTCACTCCATCACACACACACACCCATCACACACAACCCATTCCACACTCACTCCATCACACACACACACCCATCACACACAACCCATCCCACACTCACTCCATCACACACAACCCATTCCACACTCACTCCATCACACACACACACCCATCACACACAACCCATCCCACACACAACCAATCACACACAACCCATCCCACACTCACTCCATCACACACACACACCCATCACACACAACCCATTCCACACTCACTCCATCACACACACACACACCCATCACACACAACCCATCCCACACTCACTCCATCACACACAACCCATTCCACACCCACTCCATCACACACACACACCCATCACACACAACCCATCCCACACACAACCAATCACACACAACCCATCCCACACTCACTCCATCACACACACACACCCATCACACACAACCCATTCCACACTCACTCCATCACACACACACACCCATCACACACAACCCATCCCACACTCACTCCATCACACACAACCCATTCCACACTCACTCCATCACACACACACACCCATCACACACAACCCATCCCACACACAACCAATCACACACAACCCATCCCACACTCACTCCATCACACACACACACCCATCACACACAACCCATCCCACACTCACTCCATCACACACACACACCCATCACACACAACCCATCCCACACTCACTCCATCACACACACACACACCCATCACACACAACCCATCCCACACTCACTCCATCACACACACGCCCCCCTCTTTCTGTGACTCACACTGCCTCGTGTATAAACACTCGCGTCGCCGCTCGCGACTTCCCGCATTCCCTCGCCGTGCGCTCATGGTTACGCGGCGCCCCCTTCCCCAGCAGCCGGCGCTGGCCATCCCACGGAGGCTATAGGGGCACGGTGACTCGTTAAGTTCATTCGTGAATTTATTACGTTTTTCAACCAGCTTGACCAAGATTGGGCAAAAACTTCGCCTACTTTTCATCCGGACAACTGAAGAAAAGCACAGTCGCTTTGCAAACGGGACAGTCTCTGTGACGGGCGGTGGAGGGTTATTGGCAAGCATTGACAAACAAGCCCACGTCGCCTGACCCAAAAACAAATCTCCACCTGTACTGAAATATTGTACAGCGTGGTCCAGATGTATTGTGACCCCCCCCCCCCCCAATTTAATTCTCTAAAATGTAAAAAAAAATTTGTATACCCCAATGGGTGTGTAATATAACGCAAGCAACATAACCGTATTAAATACGTATCATTGTTGTTAAATCTTTCAAATCCTTTGGAACATCTTTCATAGTTCTGGTGTGTGATCTTTCCTGAGCCCATACGCTCACGGCAATCCGTTCCTCAAGAGTACACGAACTCGTATTAGGCACCTGAAGTAAATAAATAATTAAGCTTAATTTAAAACAGAAATATAGATCTGAAGTTTTCGTGACTGCAATGATCCATACTGTATGGTTCTTTCGGTAAAGTCACGTAGGTATAAAATAAAATACAAAAAAATAAATAAATTAAATCACGACGTTTCGGAAGCAACACAAGCGTCCGTCATCAGGTGGGAACACCACAGCAGCAACAAACTTAAAACAGAAATGTATAAGCAAAAGGGAAAAAAAACATATTAGAGGTACAGTAAATCAATTGAGGGGTAGGGGGGGGGGGTCACAGGACATCTGGACCATCCTGTACATCACTCTGCTCCCCCTGCCGTGCGGTCCGATGCACTGCAGGGGAAGGTCTCGGGCGTGGTGTTGTTGTGCGGTTGTTGCCCCGTGCTATTCGGCATGATGTCCGACGTTCCGCTCCACGTGCTGGGGGCTTCCTGAGATTACAACAAAAATGTGCAGACATATTTTTATCCACCTCCGTTCTGTGATCGGGGCTTTGTACCGAACACGCGTTGAGTTGTAAAAATAACTAACATTTTTTTTTAAAGATGCGTTAAACGATTCGCGGGGATGTTAGCTGTTGCATTCGCGCAGGGAAGGTACCGATTGCTGAGTATCAAGACTCATTGTCGGGAGGGTCTGGTCCCTATTCGGATGTTTGGCCATCGATTCCACTCGTGAGTCTTTGGTTTCGTGTTGGAGGAGTCCGAGACAACAGAAAAAATAAAACCCCCACTACGCTATATACGAGGGGATACCGCTCAAAGATCCGCACAGGATGGATTCAATACACATGGCTCCGACTCTATCTGTGGGCCGCACCCATTGTTGTAACGTCCTTACGAGCCCCTACTCGACATCTGTGAAAAAGGCGCTTTATAGCTTATCGGATTTCTCCAGTATAAATACATATTCTGATTAACTGTTCTGCCCTCTGCTGGCACCTCGCAGAACTGGAGCACGGAGCCTACAGCACCTGGCAAGCACCTGTGGGACGTCGCCTACCCCAAGCACCGGACCAGGCTCGGGCCTACTTCGTGAACGAGATCCGTCGAGATCGGGCACATTCAGGGCGTTGTGGTCTTCGGCAAATTAGGAGGCTCCATTAATCGACTGGGCTTCATTTATAACAACGAGTTTTCAAATATGCAGAACTAATACACTGCTCGCGTGGTTAGGGTTCGGGATAGAGGCAGGGCGAGTGTTTGATTGGCTCGCGTGGTTCGGGTTCGGGATAGAGGCAGGGCGAGTGTCTGATTAGCTCGCGTGGTTAGGGTTCGGGATAGAGGCAGGGCGAGTGTCTGATTAGCTCGCGTGGTTAGGGTTCGGGATAGAGGCAGGGCTCGTGTCTGATTAGCTCGCGTGGTTAGGGTTCCGGATAGAGGCAAGGTGAGTGTCTGATTGGCTCGTGTGGTTAGGGTTCGGGATAGAGGCAGGGCGAGTGTTTGATTGGCTCGTGTGGTTAGGGTTCGGGATAGAGGCAGGGCGAGTGTTTTATTGGCTCGCGTGGTTCGGGTTCGGGATAGAGGCAGGGCGAGTGTTTGATTGGCTCGTGTGGTTAGGGTTCGGGATAGAGGCAGGGCGAGTGTTTGATTGGCTCGTGCGGGATAGAGGCAGGGTGAGTGTTTGATTGGTTGGCTCGTGTGGTTCGGGTTCGGGATAGAGGCAGGGCGAGTGTTTGATTGGCTCGCGTGGTTCGGCTTCGGGATAGAGGCAGGGCGAGTGTCTGATTAGCTCGCGTGGTTAGGGTTCGGGATAGAGGCAGGGCGAGTGTATGATTAGCTCGCGTGGTTAGGGTTCGGGATAGAGGCAGGGCTCGTGTCTGATTAGCTCGCGTGGTTAGGGTTCGGGATAGAGGCAAGGTGAGTGTCTGATTGGCTCGTGTGGTTAGGGTTCGGGATAGAGGCAGGGCGAGTGTTTGATTGGCTCGTGTGGTTAGGGTTCGGGATAGAGGCAGGGCGAGTGTTTGATTGGCTCGCGTGGTTCGGGTTCGGGATAGAGGCAGGGCGAGTATTTGATTGGCTCGTGTGGTTAGGGTTCGGGATAGAGGCAGGGCGAGTGTTTGATTGGCTCGCGTGGTTAGGGTTCGGGATCGAGGCAGGGCGAGTGTTTTATTGGCTCGCGTGGTTAGCGTTCGGGATCGAGGCAGGGCCCGTCTCTGATTGGCTCGTGTGGTTAGAGTTCGGGATCGAGGCAGGGCCCGTGTCTGATTGGCTACTAATGATAATGCTGCTATTGCTGATGATGAATGTTGCTACTGCTGCTAATGGCAGCGCTGCTGCTGAAAATTATGATGATAGTGGTGATGCAAATGATGCTGATGATGGCGGCAGGATTGTGGCTGGTGCGGTTCGAGCACTCGCGCTGCCTCGCAGCAAGAAGCCACCTGGATTCGATTCCAGATTCGGGCGCCTTTCTGCGTGGAGTTTGTATGTTCTCTCTCTCTCTCCCTGCTATGCGTGGGTTCCCTACGGGTTCCTTTTCCAGCTAAAACACAAACAAAGACAAATATAGTCTTGGTTCTTTCGGTAAAGTCACGTAGAAGGGAAATAATAAAATAATATAAATATTAAACAAGAAAAATTCTCACTACGTTTCGACTGCAACACAAGCAATCATCATCAGGTGTGAAATCCACAGCAAAAAAAAATGGCGCCACTTTTTTCAAAATTTCTTGCTGTGGATTTCACACCTGACGATGATTGCTTGTGTTGCAGTCGAAACGTCGTGATAATTTTTATTGTTTTATATTTATATTATTGTATTATTTCCCTTCTACGTGACTTTACCGAAAGAACCACGCATATGAATCCCTGCAGTCACGAAAGCTTTAAATCAAAAAGACAAAGATCCCCCATATAGAACCTTCAAAGACAAATATCCGTACAGCCATGACAAGCTGTAGGAGCAAGTGCTGTTAGCGAGCACCCACGGCACACGAGAGGGTGGGTGGCCAGTACCACGTCCGGCCGCCTTTGTCTCGCTCGTGGCAAAAAACCCCACCACGATTGCGGAACTCATTTTGCACCGTACGTCGTCAACGGTGCTCATGTCTATGCAACCGCCATTGACCGAACATCCCAATAGTAAAATGATCATCAAATGACTGGATTGGGATCACAGCGGCAGCAGCAACGTCGCCCCCTTCCACGACGCCTTGGCAGAGAGCCCCCCCTGAATAAATAACATTGAGGCTTTCCCGAGGGAAAATAAATGGAAAATATTTCAATAATGGTCACTTGCCTGGCGTGCACGTGACCTCTCGACTGATTAAACCCGCGCCCCGTAGGTGGCCTTTAATTAGGGATGCCTAGGCAATTGCCATCGCTCACCCCCAACACTATCTAGCCCCCCCCCACTCACCCCGTACCCCCCCGCCTCTCTTACCGCCCCCAGACGCGTGATGGGTGAGCTGGGATGGAATTGATGCCATATGCGCCTGTGGCTGAGAGTTGAGAGTGTATGCGCGTGTGTTTAATGTGAATTGTGATAGAGGCGGTTGTTGTTGTTGTTCTTGTTCCAAAGCAGTTTATTAAAGTATTTAAATGGGAACTCTTTTCGCCTAACGATTTGTGACGTTCATCGCGATTGTAATATTAATCAGCATCAGCGTGGGCAATATCAGCAGTAGCACTCTCAGTAACGACACACTCTTCATGATGATCTTTATCATTTTGTTCATGCATGCATTATCGCTGTTGTTGCTGATGATAATAATGATCATCATGATTATGATCATCATCATGCGCAGGATGTGACCGCTGCTGTCAACGATGGTGATAGTGATGCGACTGCTGCTACCGATGATGATGATGCTACTAAGCATCCTCGTTTTTTTTATCATCAGCATCATCGGCCAAAAGGAGCAAATTAATTAGCATCATCAAATATATCATTACGAGATGATCAAACTCGAGTACTTTTATGCAATCGTCGTCATCATCTTCATCGGCATCTCAAGCATTGCGTTCATATCACAAAGACAAAGAACCCCTGTATAGCTTGTAACAGACTGTTGGGGCAAGTGCTGAAAGCGAGCACCTATTAAGGCCGGGACCGCACGCGAGAGGGTGGGTGGGCCAACACCACGCCGGGCCGCCTTTGTCTCCCCAGTGGCGATATTTAAACACTGCATTGGACTCTATCCCGAGGCCCAGCACATGTTCAGATAATCGAACTCGGGTTGCCGGGTTGGTCGCACAGCGCGCTAACCACTACACTACCGCTCCCCGCAAACAAAGGTCCCCAGTATATCCTTAACACACTTTTTGGGCAAGTGCTGTGAGCGAGTAGCACATATTAAGGTCTTGCACATTACACGAGGGGGTGAGTGGCCAGCACCACGCCCGACCGCCTTTGTCTCCCAAGTCGCATTATTTTTACACATCGCACCAGCTACTCATTTGAGGCTAAGCCGACCTAGGGGAGGCTCGGGGCCCACTGCACCACCCCTCCCCAGTCACACACACACTATCCGCGTATCGGAGATGTAAGCATACACCCACACTTAACTTTTTTTTTATACCGCAGCAGCAGCAAACACTGCCCTTCTCAAACACACTCTCTCCCACTCTCCCCGCTCTCTCTCCACCCCCGTTCTCTCTCTCACGCACACACCGCTTCACCAGTCGAAGCCGGGTCTCCCAATTCTCCCCGCATACAACCTCCACTCCGTTAGCTCTCTCTCTCTCTGTCTCTCATGGTCAACTCCCTCCTTCTCTATCTCTCTCCGGAACAGCTCAAGAGCTCTTCCCCCTGCGCGAGACCGGATTCATAGCGAGATTGGTTTCCTGCCACTGTGGGAGCGGACAGGGCTACGGTATGTGCGCATGTGCGTGCGTTTGTGCGTGTGCGCACGCGTGTGCATGCGTGTGTGTGTGTGCGCACGCGTGCGCGTGTGTGTCCGAGCGCGTGCATGTTAAGCGCGCTGGCGCTACGAACCTGGCGGCCCGAGTTCCGATTCTCGTTCGCGGAGAGCAGCACCAAGTGACGATTATCTGAACCGGTCCTGGGCCTCCCTGCCCCGAGGTCAACTCGGCCTCAAATGAGCTAATAGTATTCGCCCCAACAGTCTGTTAAGGCCGTAGGGGAACCTTTGTGTTTGTGTGTGCGTGCCTGTGTTCCAGAACACACAGAGCACATGTTGTGAATGCAGCCATGTACACGGTACACACATGGCATACACATCAACAGAGGCACACAGAATCGGAATATTCAAATGTACTGGAGGAATCCGATAAGCTCAAAATATATTTTTTCACAGATGTCGAGTAGGGGGCTGGTAATAACGTTACAACAGTAGGGGCGTGTCAGACACGCGCGCACGCATACACAAAGTAGACGCATAAACACACACACCCATAGATACACGTCTCAGACATGTGTATATACAGTATACACATAGGCACAGATACACATACACCCACAGATACACAGCGTCACAGACACATAGTATACACAAAGACACACAAACATTAATAGATATACAAACTCATAGACACACAGTATACACATAGGCACAACGACTACACACACTACACAAAGACAACCAACCCCCGTGTGGCCTTTAACAGACTGTTGGGGCAAGTGCTGCTTGCCTGCGCCGATACAAGACGGCACGGCACACGTGGGTGTGGGTAGCTTGCACTACGACCGGCCCACCTTTGTCTCCCAAGTGTTTAACGTTTACACACCGCACGAGGTACTCATTTAAGATCGAGTCGATCTAGTAGAGGCCCAGGACCGGTTCAAATAATTGTCACAGACTTTTTTTTTTTTAACCGTGAACGGGAATTGAACTCAGATAGCTAGAGTTGCGCTAACCACACACACAGGCTTCTTACATCATCACACAAAACCCCCCAGTTCACACGGATACACACGGTCCGGACAGACATGAACGTGCGGACATGACGTTTGTGTATGAATGGATGTGTGTACATTGTGTGTGTATGTATAGGAGCGGTAGTGTTGAGCTACGAATCTGGCGACCTGGGTTCGATTACCGCTCACGGCCAACACCAGTGACGATTACTGGTCCTGGGTCTACTCTAGGTCGACTCAGCCTCAAATGAGTACCTGGTGCGGTGTGTAAACATCACCACTAGAGAGACAAAGGCGGCCGGGCGTGGTGTTATAGCTACCCACCCCCTCGTGTGCCGTACTGGCCTTCATAGGTGCTCGCTAACAGCACTTGCCCCAACAGTCTGTTAAGGCTGTACGGGGGGATTTTTGTCTTGTATGTATGTGTTATGAGTTCAACTGAGTCGCAGACGTACTCTTGGAGGCAACACATTTGTTTAACACCAACACACGGGGTGACTGCCCCTTAAGGGAAGAACAACCTATGGTGGTGACTACCAGGATAACTATACTAATTATAACGTAACTAGCTACAATGGACCGGACCGCAGCTCGGGTCCAGGTCCACGTGTTGGAGACTCGGTAGAACGTAGGACGTTGATGAAGGCTTCTTTAAGATGAACAACAACGCCGGTCCCTCTGGGGGACCCGGCTTATATTCTCTGCGGCGTGGCTGCCTCCGCCCTTGGCCATGACCACCTTCCAGAATCCTCGAGCAGGATCCTGACCCGGACCACGTGACCACCCCGAGCCTCCACTTGAGGCCCCTTTGTAGACTTAACCGGTCACGTATCCTCTCGGTATCAACCAGAGTGCCATGGCCTTTAGTAACCCCGGCACACCCACACCCTATCCTGTAGGGCTAGCACCGCACGGCAAGCATGGTGCCACCTCGCGCTATCAACCAGCGCTCACCGAGCCCCTCTAGGGCTGGTACTACACCCACATCATAGTGGTGTCCGCAATGTCGTTACATCGTACGCCGTGCCTCTCTAGGGCCGGCCCAGCACAGTCTCACTACATCACCCCCCCCCCCCCTTCTTCGTAGCACTCAGCCATCCCGGCTGTCAACTCCCCCTTTTAAACGAACAAAGGAACAACCCCGATGTGTGTCTCAAATAAATACCCAAACCCCTCTATACAATATATACACTATCTACAAATATACAGTAACTAACGGAGAAAGGGGAGGTAAGTACAGAACAACAATAATCAAAAGCAAGGGAAGAGAGATAAAAAAAATGTAGTAAAACGCGAACACTCGGGACCCCCTCCATCACCAGCATCTCTCACCCTCACCGTGTAACAACACCCACAAGCACAATAAAGGGCAGGTTCAGCCAATAACCAATACGGCCTGCCGAGTGCGACAACCAACTGACGGTGTGGGAGCTTGTGTGTATGGGGATCACGAAAATTGAAGAGTCTTTGATCGAGTCCTTGTGGCTGGGCATCCATCCAGGGGAGGAATTTGCAAATGTCCCGTCGAACCCGGCTCCTCACGAAGAGCAGTCGGCTGGGCAGACGGGCTCTCCTCTCCAGAATCTAGTGGAGATGGAGCAGGTGGCAGCTTCGGGGACGTTAAACACGCGGCACCTGAGGACGGGATCACCTGACTCCCCTGAGGACCAACCTCAGCGGGTACACACCTCAGCTCGCCGGTCACATCTGACACTCGGCCCCTGCGTAGTGGAGATGGGGTGAATTTACGACGTCCGATGAAAGGCTTGAGGCGCAAGGGATGTACAAACCAACTCCGCCGACCCAAGCGCATCTGAACACACTGGGGCCGAACGACCCGAATCACATCAACCGGCTCCCTCCAGGGTTTAAACAATTTGGGTGAAGTACCCACCGGTACCTGTAGAAAGTGCAGCCAGGCTCTATCACCTGGAACCCACTCATGTGCAGAAAGACGGTAACCCCTCGGCCGCTCATTTGCCAATTGGCGCGAATTGGAATTTTCCCTGGAAGCCTCTTGCGCTTCCGAAAGCTTCTGAAGGGTTAAGCGCCTAGAGTCAGAAATTTTAGATTCAGCCTTATTTGGCGCGGATCGTAATTGGACATCAATCGGGGGGTAGTGTTCTCTTCTGTACATAAAAAAAATGGTGAGTAGCCGGTGGATGCGCGAGGGGACATTCTATAGGCAGCCAGGACATTCAAATCCCAGTCAAGCTGGGACTCGCTGACCTGATGGCTCAGCATGGAGGTCAGAGTCCTGTGCAGCCGCTCCACCATTCCATTCGCCTGGGGGTTGTATGGTGATGTACGTACTTTCTTTGTTCCCAGCAATTTGCACACCTCCCGCAGTAATTTAGAATGAATGTTTTTGCCCTGATCGGTCAGAAGACGCTCAGGGGTACCCTTGTCCATCACATAGCCATCGAGTAATGCCTCGGTGATGGCCGCCGCCGACTGGTTGGGGAGAAACCAAGCCATCGGTCAGCGTGAAAAATACTCGACACCCACTAGCAAATACTTATTCCCACGAGTGGTAGTGTGAAATGGACCAAGGATATCAAGAGTGACCAGCTCGTTTATGCGGGAGACCTGAATGGATTGTAATGGTGGACAACAGAGTTTTAGCGGGGGTTTCCGCCGCGCACTGCACACACCCTTTTAATAAATTTAAAACATCTTCCGCCATGTCAGGCCAGAAGAAGTCGAGCTTAAGTGTGGCTAGCGTTTCGATTTAAAGCTTTCGTGACTGCAGGGATCCATCTTCTTGGTTCTTTCGGTAAAGTCACGTAGAAGGGAAGCAATAAAATAATAAAAATAAAACATAATAAAATAAAATAATTCTCACGACGTTTCGGCCACAACGCAAGCAGCCGTCCTCAGGTGAAGAATGAGACATTACCAAGCTAGGAGCTAATATATACGCTGCGTTGGAGGTGCAAGAGCGCCTTAACAAAAAGAATGTGCATATGAAGAGGAATTTAGCATATTCATGGGAAATGCGTAGGAGGTGGGTGGGGGGGGCTTTCATAGTCATATTATGCCCATGCATTATGCAGGATCAACAGCACCAAGGGGGGGTGCAGTAGCATTAACAAAGGAAAAGAATGTTAATAGTATGTAGCTGCAGTTACTAAACAACAACGTAGAAAACTAAAGTATAAACTACATAAAAAACTAAAGTATAAACTGCATAGCACCATCAGTATACTTACTATACTCTACAATAAGCTGAGTTACTAACAACAAGTAATACATTACAATTCTACGTCGTAAAAAATATATATAATATGCTTCCATCTAAACTTTATTCTCTTACATCACACGAGCATACACCGTACTATATACTGCCATAGATAAACCCAACATTAGATTGTATTCTCCGCAGGGAATGGATTCTTTGCACCGCTGCAAGTTTCCCCCCCACGACTCACCCATTGATACGACGGTCAATGGTACAGCGTATAATAACAAATAGTATAACATTTATATGCTTAATACAATGTACAAAGTAATATATAGTATCGTAATTGTATAGTAAACATATAGCAGTGTGATACACATTAGGGTGAGTAGAATAATACATAGTGTTATATTAAAATGTATAAGGTATAGGGTGGTTTATAGCAATACAGTATATAATCTAATGTTGGGTTTATCTATGGCAGTATATAGTACGGTGTATGCTCGTGTGATGTAAGCGAATAAAGTTTAGATGGAAGCATATTATATAATTTTTTACGACGTAGAATTGTAATGTATTACTTGTTGTTAGTAACTCAGCTTATTGTAGAGTATAGTAAGTATACTGATGGTGCTATGCAGTTTATACTTTAGTTTTTTATGTAGTTTATACATTAGTTTTCTACGTTGTTGTTTAGTAACTGCAGCTACATACTATTAACATTCTTTTCCTTTGTTAATGCTACTGCACCCCCCCTTGGCGCTGTTGATCCTGCATAATGCATGGGCATAATATGACTATGAAACCCCCCCCAC